GCACACACGGCCCAGGCACACACAGGAGCAGGCACACACAGGAGCAGGCACACACGGAGCAGGCACACACAGGAGCAGGCACACACAGGAGCAGGCACACACGGCCCAGGCACACACAGGAGCAGGCACACACAGGAGCAGGCACACACGGTGCAGGCACACACAGGAGCAGGCACACACAGGAGCAGGCACACACAGGAGCAGGCACACACGGAGCAGGCACACACAGGAGCAGGCACACACGGAGCAGGCACACACAGGAGCAGGCACACACAGGAGCAGGCACACACGGCCCAGGCATACACACGGCCCAGGCACACACGGTGCAGGCACACACAGGAGCAGGCACACACAGGAGCAGGCACACACGGCCCAGGCACACACGGGAGCAGGCACACACGGTGCAGGCACACACAGGAGCAGGCACACACAGGAGCAGGCACACACGGTGCAGGCACACACGGGAGCAGGCACACACGGTGCAGGCACACACAGGAGCAGGCACACACAGGAGCAGGCACACACGGTGCAGGCACACACGGGAGCAGGCACACACGGTGCAGGCACACACAGGAGCAGGCACACACGGTGCAGGCACACACAGGAGCAGGCACACACGGTGCAGGCACACACAGGAGCAGGCACACACGGAGCAGGCACACACGGTGCAGGCACACACAGGAGCAGGCACACACGGTGCAGGCACACACGGTGCAGGCACACACAGGAGCAGGCACACACGGAGCAGGCACACACGGCGCAGGCACACACAGGAGCAGGCACACACAGGAGCAGGCACACACGGTGCAGGCACACACAGGAGCAGGCACACACAGGAGCAGGCACACACGGCCCAGGCACACACAGGAGCAGGCACACACAGGAGCAGGCACACACGGAGCAGGCACACACGGCGCAGGCACACACAGGAGCAGGCACACACAGGAGCAGGCACACACGGTGCAGGCACACACAGGAGCAGGCACACACAGGAGCAGGCACACACGGCCCAGGCACACACAGGAGCAGGCACACACAGGAGCAGGCACACACGGAGCAGGCACACACAGGAGCAGGCACACACGGTGCAGGCACACACAGGAGCAGGCACACACGGTGCAGGCACACACAGGAGCAGGCACACACGGTGCAGGCACACACGGCGCAGGCACACACAGGAGCAGGCACACACAGGAGCAGGCACACACGGCCCAGGCACACACAGGAGCAGGCACACACAGGAGCAGGCACACACGGCCCAGGCACACACAGGAGCAGGCACACACAGGAGCAGGCACACACGGAGCAGGCACACACAGGAGCAGGCACACACGGCCCAGGCACACACGGCCCAGGCACACACAGGAGCAGGCACACACAGGAGCAGGCACACACGGCCCAGGCACACACGGCGCAGGCACACACAGGAGCAGGCACACACAGGAGCAGGCACACACGGCCCAGGCACACACAGGAGCAGGCACACACAGGAGCAGGCACACACAGGAGCAGGCACACACAGGAGCAGGCACACACAGGAGCAGGCACACACGGTGCAGGCACACACAGGAGCAGGCACACACAGTGCAGGCACACACAGGAGCAGGCACACACAGGAGCAGGCACACACAGGAGCAGGCACACACGGCGCAGGCACACACGGTGCAGGCACACACAGGAGCAGGCACACACAGGAGCAGGCACACACGGAGCAGGCACACACGGCCCAGGCACACACAGGAGCAGGCACACACAGGAGCAGGCACACACAGGAGCAGGCACACACAGGAGCAGGCACACACGGTGCAGGCACACACAGGAGCAGGCACACACGGAGCAGGCACACACGGCGCTGTCTGGCTGCCCCAGGTACAGCACAAAGGGCTGAAGGCAAATGCTCACTGTCCATTCCAATCAGGTCAGGGCAATCGACACTGTGCCCTCCCTGATTAGGAGGTCACAGGCAAAGCTGAACACGGATTACAGAGCTCCCGTGCCCTCCTCGATGGAGTCACTCCCTGCACTCCACTCCATGGCACACACAGGATCCTCTCCTGCCCTGTGGGGATTGCTGCACTTGTACCTGCAGCAGCAGAGAGCAGCAGGAACCGGAGATGGTGGAAAACTGAAGTAGAGAGGCACCAGTCCACATGTGGGTTGGAGTCAGTCTTACAGCTGTAAAACAAGGGCTGGAAGTGTATTTCCTGAGTTTCACATGCCTCTGGAGCACCATTTAGTACCAAGGAGAGCCAACCTGGAAAATGTCAAGGCAGCATAAAGCTCTGTGCATAGAATCATTTCATGCTGATACACGAGGCAGCTTGTGAGCAGGCCAGCTTATAAAGCTTCAGATTTTTTTTCTCTTTTCCAAAATAAACAATCCCCAAATTGAAGTTCTTCAGGCTACAAAGGAAACCAGCCAGGTTGTTTACAACATCCAGCAGGAATCCTGCTTAGGGCAAATCAGCTGCAGAGCAAATGAAAGCAGAGCTCAGGAGGCAGGAGATGATTTCTGTCCTTGCATGGGAACCTACCTCGGTGTGGCAGGGAACAGATCCAACCTCCTACCTTGGTAAGCAGCAACAGTGCTCCTCCCTGCTAACAGCACTCTGATATCTGTAAAACTCTAACTCAGAATTGCTCTGCAGCTTCAATGGAGCTTCCTAAACGCCCTTTTTTAGCCTCCAAGCTTTGGAACACTTTGTTTGTGATGGTAACAGTGAGGAAAAGATGCTACTCACTAGGGACTTCCTTTGTGCAGACTGAATAGACCTCGAGATTCCTTAAACTTCCAGAAACTGTTCTTCCTGCACTCTTGGCTTGTGCTGGTGCCAGTGCCCTGCAGCCTTTTTGCTGTCAGCTCTGCCACAGTTCTTGAGGAGGCAAGAGACTAAAAAGAAAGCTGAAGGACTGATCTTAAATGGCTCCAAATCATTTATTCCTCTCTACCAGTGCACTCAGTGTATTTCATAAATAATTTCTAACATATTTTATACATTTAATTCAAAGCTTTTAACTTCTAGCCTTTATTTTTCCCTTTTGCAGTGCAGAACACTGGTAACCTCAGGCATGGCACTGTTTTATTCTTGTAAGGGATTCTCAATAGCCACAGGAATTTATCCCACATATGATCCCCATGTCTCATTTAGACAATCTCTGCTATAGGTGATGGGTCTCTCCACTTCATGGGTCATTAAATCTTCAGCCTTTAACAGAACTAATGAGGCTGCTGGTGAATTAGAAAACAGACTTTGTGGAACTGAAACAGATGTAATGGTCAAGCATTAGAAACTCTCACACAGGCCATGGAGGATACAACTGCTAGTAATTGCTTACCTTAGGTAGGAACAAAAAATCTCAAGAGATTTTAAAATTTAATTAGTGATCCAAGCTTCTTTCAGGCAGTATCTCCTTCCAAAGTGTTGCTGTGCCTCCAGCTCCCAGGTTCTGCTACTCCAGGGTTTATTTAGGACCTGGGAGAATCAGACTCAAGGCCTGTGTGAATGGTGGAGCCCCATTTTCATTCACAACAGGCCATGCCAGACACAATGAGCTTCCAACAACTGCAGCACCTGCTGCCCACCTGGGCAGAGGAGGGGTGGGACTCAGCTCTGAATCTTCTCAAGCTCTGCAAAACACAGTGTGTTGTGAGAGGCAGATGAGCAGCCTGGCAGTGAAAGTACAACAGCACGTTTGGAATCTCTAAAGGAACATTTCTCCCCAAAAGACCACCCAAAGAGCGTGTGCTTTTCTTGGAAGATGCCTCCAAAGCTTTTACACTCCCTTTCTGAATGCCTTAAGCACTATATGGTTGATAATTGGACTACAAAGCCTTTTCTAGTTACAAACATATTTCAAATCAGATCTGTGCTCAACTCTGGCCTCTAAAACATTTGATTTCCTGGTTTTATTGGTAATGGTTTACTTGAGAAGGCAAGAGCACAACAGCAAAGCTAGAGAAATCTGTACAAACAATAAACAAGTCCCCCATGCTGATGCCCTGTCTCTTCCTCAAAGGTGAAGCCAGGTGTTTTTCATTTGGCAGCTGAGCAGTGTAATAAATCAATATGAAACAAGAGTAGATATTAAAAACTGTATTTTCCCCCCTGCCCAAGAGTTACATTTTCAGTGAGAAGATCAAACCACACAAAAGATCAAACCACTTTGCTTATTGAAAAGCCTGAGCTGCTGAGGAGTGCCCTGGATGGCCAGGGAGGGTCAGTGCCAGCCCAGAGCAGCCAGAGTCACAGGAGCCCCTCAGTTACACTGGGAGAGCTCCCCCTCTGCACCAAATTCACATCAAATGCTTCTCAGGCAACCCAGTCAAAATCTAGAGAATCCTATGGGCTCATTCCTGGTTTATTTTAATAAAGAAATTTCTTATCTGGCCCCAACAAAAAGGGGTAAAAGATTTACTTTCACATAGAATTTTACAAAGCTGCAACTGAATCAAAAGGAGCGTTTTCATAAATAGATGTACAGTTGCTCTCATTACACAGTATTTATTTGCTCAAGATAATTTCTTCCTTGTGCTCACAAGTCTGTTCTTCCTTTTGCAGACAGTCCATGGTTTCTCTCCAGCTTTTCCCCCATTTTGAGACACAACAGCATCCTGTCAGCAGAATTTCTGGCCATGAAAATGGTCATGTTGTCACAGTTAGATTCTAGAATTGTCACTGTAAATAATTAACAACCATAGGAAAAGAACCAGAAACAGGTAAATTGAGTTCAGGTTTAATAGATTCTGAAACATCTCGAAGTCAGTGCAACCCACAGCAAAATCCAGAAGTTTTGTAAGAACCACCTGCACACATGAGAGAGAATGAAGCGCTTGGTTTTAGGCAGCAGTGCTGGAGACTGTGTGCAGACTCCTGAACAGTCAGTGCACCTCAGGAATTCCACTGCAGCTTTTCCAGCCTGTCAAGGTCTGTGTGTGTTTCAAGGCCCCGCAGCTGCAGAGAGAAGCTGAGAGTGTCCCTGTACGCTCAGCGCTGGGCAGCAGCACTGCTGCCTCCTGAGCAGTGCCCCAGGAGCCTGCTGCTATCCTGGCATCCAGAGAATTCCCCTCTCACCAAACAGCTGCAAGGAGGGAAACCATGTACAACTTTTCAAGTGACTAGAAACTTCAGTCTGTTAAAGCCCAGTGCAAGCTGGATTTAAGTTAATTAACTGTTCCTAACGTGAGAGCTACTCTTGTGCAGCAGTCAAAGGGGTAAAGTGGAACTCTGCAGTACTTTAAACAAGTTCACATATTCTCTATGTGTACAAATTTGGCAAATTCATGTCACAGCCTCAGATCTCATTCTTGCAGTTCCTGCAGAACTCCTCCAGGGAAGCAGAGAGAAGCCCTGGGCAGGCAGGGGTGCCAGGGCTGGGGCACAGCCCCCGTGCCCACCAGGGCTGGGCATCTCGGCCTCCAGCCTGGCCAGGTGGACTTCCTGAGCCAAATCTGCTTTGACACACGCTCCCAAAAGAGCTCCAGGCCATGGAGCAGCTGAGTATGGAAAAACTGATTGCATCAGAAACACTGCGGCCAAAAGGAAATCAAACTATGACTTCAAAGCCAATCAAAAAACCAAAACAACCCCCCAAAAGCAAGCGTTTATATGTGTGTAGAGGTAATAAATATTGCAAAGCACATTTGTCTTTTCCCCCCAAGTCAATAAGTATAAAGAAATAACCAATGCACCAAAACATCAGCTTCCTGCAATGAAAACTTTGGAGTCAGCAAATACCTGCAAGCCAACTGAAGGGAAAGATTTTGCATTGTCACCCAATCACAAGTTGCTTCCAGTTCTATGCAGCCAAATCAAACCCTCTTCAAATTCACAAGTTTGACCTAAATAAGCACCACAGCATGAAAAGCTTCTTTAGAAGTAGGATGTCAAGAGACTTTGTTTAAAATACAAAATAAAACGTGAGATAAAAGGTTTCCATTGGTCAAGTTTGAAAAATTGCCTTCCTTTATCCAACCACAGCCTGTCCCTTTGAGCCAACCAAAAGCACACCTTTGGGTTTGTCCTTAATGAACACAGCCCGGCCGAGTTGCAAAATCTGACAGGAACAGATGGCTGTGAGATGCATTCTGAGGGTTGGGCAAAGGGAAACAACATTACAAAGGAGAAGGAATACCAAGGAACAATTAGGGTGGGCAGAGGAACTTATTAACGCTCAGCCATCCTCCTCTATCTTCAGGAATCTCACTGTCCTCTCCAGTTCTGTGTTGTTCAGGTGTCCTGTAGTTACTGTCTTCTGTCTTCTGTCTCTGACCTGGAAAATGCCATCACAACATCCTCAGCACCTGCAACAACAATGGATACAGGAAATCTGTGCCATAATTACTTCCTTTAAAGAGCAGCACCCCAAGTGTCATTCTAAACATGCACACGACCAACAGGAAAGGAAATGACAAACCAGGGAATGCCAAACCACCACCACTGCCTGTCCCAGCAGGTAACTGCTCAGCTCCACAGAATCCTCTTCCAGGGCTTTACAAAGCTCAAATTCAACTCAGATGGAGCACCAGCATGCAAAATTCCTCCAGATTTCACCTGAAGCACATCAACAAGCAAATCTCAGTTCTGTGCCCCAAGCAACTTCTGCCCATACACCTGCACACAAGGTAAAGAGGACTAATAAAAATGCCTCATCTGATCTCATTATATGAATTCCATTTCTCAGTTATCTAATCTGCTCTTCAGTTGCAATATAGCAGGAAAAGTGGTCAAATGGTAAATTTAAATTCCTCTTGCTAATGTCCTTAAAAGCTAAATCAATGCTCCTGAAATGCAACTGCATTTACTTTTATACAGTTCACAATTTATTTGTTATATGTACTTGAAGGAAGAAATATTAAGGACCAAGCAGTAGTAGTTTGTTTTTCATATGTAGGGCCCTTATCTTATATAAAACTACATCAAAAACTGCTCTGATGCACCCTCTTGCCAGCATTCAGAAGCCCTGCAGTCATCTCCCTTTTCATCTCCTGCACAAAGTGTTTCTTCCTTGATCAAAACATAAATGATATATAGCACCAGGATCCAGCTCAGAATTAACAAGCTGCCTTGTTGGTTTTAAAACACGCAGGAACTACCAGCCCCTGAAGAAAAACAAGGATTTCACTTGCAAGGATGGTGAAAAAGCCTTGGATGCTGGGGGGGCTGCAGCAGGAGGAGGCCAGGGCAGCTGCAGCAGCACCTCTGGCACGAGGGCTCCAGCAGCAATTGAAGGGGCAGGAGCAGCTGGAAACACCTGGCAAGCACAGAGCCTCACCCACACAGCATCAGCTCCACTCCTTCACAGACCTGATGTTCTCCTGGGCTCTCCCCTTCCCAGGGTCTCAATGGAACAGAATTCCTGCAGGTTTCCTTGCCGTCCCAGGCAGGAAAGGAGGCTGCATCCCAGATAACCCCAGAGCCCTGTGCTCCTGCCTGCCCCAGCAGGAACCTCCCAGAGGCCACTGAGGGCACCTGGCCACATCTGGAGGTGTCCCCCAGCAAGAGAACCTGGGTGACATTTGTCCAGAAAAAGCTCATCCACGTTTCTCAGCATAAAAGCAGGTTTTGTTCCAGCCCTGCCCTATAACCCAAACCACCCAGAGCCAAAGGAAACCAAGCTGCTCGTGAAGCAGCTCTCCATGCCTGTGCACAGACACAAACACTGCCAGAGAACAGAGCTGGCCCTTCTGTGTCTCAGGGAAAGCAGGGACCCACCAACCTGAGCTGCTCCTGCAGCCCCACTTGGCTCCCACAACGGATGTTTTCCTGCTAATCAAGTAAAGTAATGTAAAAAGCAGAGCACAGGTTATGAAGTTAAGCTGCACGTGGCCAAGAGGCTGTGACTGAGACAATGGGATGTGAACCACGTCTGCTTGGAGCACATCCTTCTCTGAGCTCTGCACTTCCAGCAATTAATGTACAGAACAATGACAAAGGCACACTTTTACCTGACCTGCATCTGTACACACAGCTGTCCCTTTTCTGGGCACACATTTCTAACCTGAAATAGAGACTCACAACATCCCCAGTGAAATATTCCTTATCTTTTATGAGCAAAGCATTAACTACCACAAACCTTTTGACATTCAGATACTTCTCTCACTGAATCTGCCTCACGCTTTCTCACCCTCGTTCTTCCTACAAATTAACAATAATTAACAGGTGGGCTTATGTCCTATCTTAGAAAGTAATAGTGATAATCTTACCCCACTAACTTCCAAAAAAATGCCACTGAGATGATGTTCCAGTTGCAGCTGGTTGAATTGCTGAATTTAGAGTTCTTTTACACCTCTTGTTCCTCAGTCTTAGCAAGCCAGGATGAGCTGAAGGTCAAATGCCTTTACTGCAGGGCACTGCAGCCCGAGCTCAGTGTGCCCAGCTGCTCCCTGCCCACCCCCATGGCAGAAAGCTTCCCCAGGGGGGCTGATGCCAGAGCCAGGACCGGGCACAGAGCATGAACCCAGCAGGGTAAGGCTGCACTGAAACCTCACCACCTCAACACCAGAGGAGATGCTGACACCTCCAACAGCTGCTGTTCCCAAGTGCTCTGTGAATGAGAAATAGATACATACACCTGATTTGCTTGTAGTCACCCGCAGAATTAATTAAACCCCAAAAGCATTTAGAGATCAGAAGGTTTAGCCTGTTGGGAATTTCTAAAGGCTGCCAAAATTAAAAAAAAGAAATTCTTCACTTCACACAAGATCTTTGCATACATACATTTCTTCAACCACCTTCCAGTAACAATCTTCTAAACATTAACCCTTCCCTGGAATTCCCAGCGTTAGCATCCTAGGCTGGCATTCTAAAAATACCCCATGCACTGCTGAGAGCAGCAGCACACTGAAACAAGCCTTGTGCTCAACAGAATAAAAGGGCACTGAGCAGAGCTCGGTCTCCATTCTCCAGCAGCACCTGCCAGGCCATGGGAGGGTCCCCTGAGCCCCACAAGCAGCCTGGGGGGTTCTGGTGCCCCACACCAGGGAACAGCCTCACCCAGGCAGGCAGAGTCTGCATCTCAGCGCTGCCCTCCCCACGGGAGCAGCACCACACTCCTGTTGCTATAGGAACAGCAGAGCTGCAGTCACCAAGGTCTCAGCACAATTCCCATCCCGCGCTTCCTCCCTGCACTGCTGCCATTGCCAGAGCTGCCACAGCAGAGCCTGCAGCCAGCCCAGCCTTGGAAATGCAGGGAACATGGGGCTGATGCAGGAGATGCTTCTGTGCACAGAACTGCCCGAGAGGCATTTTGCTTGTACTCAAAAATATGTGAGAAAGCCTGGATTTCATCAGGTGTGAGCTGTGTTAGCTCTTGCTGCAATGCAGGCAATATCAGTGTGTGAACATCCCAAAACAGCTCAGGATTACATCCCAAAACAGCTCAGGATTACATCCCCTCTCCAGCACACACACTGGTTGAACTGAGATGCCTCAGGGTTCCTCAGTTATTCTTGGAGCCGTAAAAACAAACAACAAACACTCCACAGATGTCAGCTAAAGAGCTCCCAGAGTAAAGAAAAACACCCTGGATTTTGTACTTTAGTATAGGTGAATGATTGAAAAATAAAATGACATTAATATTAGACTCAATTACCATATCTCCTCTTCCAATAAAAATAAGGATAAACTGAAGGGGAGCCTTAGCCTTCAGGCTTGATTAAAAATTACCGAGATATTCCAAGATGCTTCTTGATCCAAATTATCTTCCATTGCTGGATCCTTAGACAACAAACAGAGTCTCAAGGAGGAGCTTTAAATGTCAGAGATTTTGGCATTAGCAGTGGCTCATGGAGGGTTTATGGCACAATTCAGCAGGGAGAGCAAAAACTCCTTCCTTAGTGCTCTGCCACATCCTGACACCATGGACACACAGGGTCCCTGTGGGCAACCAAAGGGGCTCAGAGAGAGCCACAGAGCCTGCCCAGGAACCACAGCAGGGACAAGCTCAGAACTCTACCCCATCCATCCTCTGCACTCCTACCAAGGAGACCCCACAAACCAAAACAAGCTCCTGGAAGCGGAGCCAGGCTGCAGCCCTTGAAGGGACACACAGAAAGCTGCAGGTCCACGACAAAGCTCTCAGAGTGCTCAGGCCAAGGATGATGTCATTCTGGTTTTTGGGACAAAATGGGGATGTGAAGTTACCTTTGTGTCTTTTGTGCCTGCTGGAGGAAAATGGCTCTAAAGATACACCAGGGACACGTCAGGCTCAGAGCAACCTGTCCTGCTGTGGAACAAAAGGCTCTGAAATCCACTGAAGTGCTAAGTTGGTGTAAGTTACTCCCTAAATAACACCTCTTTTTGTTGTTGTGTAAGACAAGCTGCACAAAGGAAAAAAGAAATCCTCCAGAGGAGATTCAATGAAAACAGAAAAGCAGGGAAGAAAATTCCTTCAAGCAATCTTGGAGCAACAGAACTGGGAGTGTGTGGACTTGCAGGGCTGTTCCAGCGCCAGGCAATGCCATCTAGTGGAGATGGGATCTCCTCCCTTAGGGTGGCACATCCCACACCCATGCCATGGTATTCCAGCTCCCAGGAATTCCATACCCAGCCCTTCCTCTTTCTCTGACCCAGGATATGGCAGAGGACACAGGCAGCAGCAAGCAAGGAGCATTATCATTACTGACTGCGAGAAACTGGAGAGATTTCCAAGCAAATCAAAGTCCTGAGCAATAAATTATTGTTGCTTCTGTCTGTGGAGCACACTACAGCTTCAGCACCACTGTAGGAAGTATCTGTGTCCCCTGGCTGGGCTTCTGATTTTATCACCTTTTCTTTGCCAAAGTGCAGGTAATTCAGCATTGGTTTCACTGGGAAAAATGTAACTTTGAAGGACAATGCTGAAAAATGCTAACTGCAGCTAAGTCTCTCTTACCTTAATGTGTCTACCTCAGTTCTTGACAAGAAACAAGAAAATTCTCACTTCAGACTGGCAGAAAAGTTGTGCATTTTGGCTCAGAATTCCTCAAGCATATCCACCTCCACCAGCCCCCAGCTATGCAAGGCATGAGCACAGCAGCAAGTTTGTGCAGGTTGTGTTGGTAATGGATTTCTGGATGTCTCAGATCTACACTCAATTTCTGCTCAGATCTTTCTGGCACGAGTCTTACAATGCTCCTTCCATTCCAAACTGCACCTTAGGAACGTGACCTGGCACGGGGGCTGTGCAGGGGAGGGAGAGCAATCCAGTGACAAACATTCAGGTCCACAAGAGATGAGTGAACCCAGAGCAACTGTTTACCAACACTTCTGTAAGGAATTAACACAGCCAGCACATCCCAGCCTGCAGGGTGGGCTTCAGCAGGTGGCAAACGATGCTGGAAGTCCAGGAGGCTGCAGGGGGGGTTTGCTGAGGCTGCTGCCCAGGGGAAGCAGCTCCGGGGCACAGGGAGGGCACTGGGGGCACTGGGCAGCACTGGGGGGGCACTGGGGGCACCCACCCTGGTCAATGGAGTGCTGGGGCAGCTGGGGGGCACTGGGCAGTACTGGGGGCACTCACCCTGGTCAATGGAGTGCTGGGGCAGCTGGGGGGCACTGGGCAGTACTGGGGGCACTGAGGGGGCACTGGGCAGCACTGGGGGCACTGGGCAGCACTGGGGGGGCACAGGAGAGTCACTGGGCAGTACTGGGGGCACTCACCCTGGTCTGGGGGCACTCACCCTGGTCGATGGAGTGCTGGGGCAGCTGGCTCAGCTGGGGGCACTGGGGGGGCACTGAGCAGCACTGGGGGGCACAGGAGAGTCACTGGGCAGTACTGGGGGCACTCACCCTGGTCTGGGGGCACTCACCCTGGTCGATGGAGTGCTGGGGCAGCTGGGGGACACTGGGCAGCACTGGGGGGGCACAGGGCAGCACTGGGGGCACTCACCCTGGTCGATGGAGTGCTGGGGCAGCTGGCTCAGCTGGCTGTTCACCACCCCCGCGTACGTGCGCAGGAACTCCTCCTCGCTGGCCGTCAGCTGCGGGCACGGAGGGGACACAGGTGACACCTGAGCCCCCAGCACAGCACAACCCACCCCAGCAGGGACAGAGACCACAGCACCTCTGCTCTGCTCCTCACCACCTGCACCACCCCTCACCCGTGCACAGCAGCCAAATCATGAACCCATGGGCAGGCTCAGTGCCACCTTAAAACAGCTGCTTCGCTTGGCTCCTTCTCCAATAATGAAGAACTTGAAATCATTTATCTACATATGGTAATTCCAGGCATCACAAGCCTTATAATATTTAAGCAAAAATCAATTGTGTTTAAGTGATAACGGTTAAATCCAGGATAGCTCAAACAATTCAGCATTAAAGCAGACCATCACCTGCCCATCTCAACAAGCACTACCCCAGTTAGTCCAAAGTGGTCTGAAAACCCTGTGAGGAGAATCTTACGTTTGATCCCATCTTCCTGAGCATGAGCAGCACTCTCACTTTCTGCTGAATGTACATCTCCTCCGGACTCTTCCCGGGGACGCCCTCACGGTTCATTCCCCTCCTGCCAGCTCCTGGATTTCCTGCAGATACAAAATCAGAAAACTAGAATAGGTAATGGGGTATAATAGGAAATAGAGGAAAAGTTTAATTTCCAAAATACCTGTTTTCCACCAGTGGAATATCCTGTGAGAGCAAGGAATCACATCCTTCCCCAGAGAAACCCTTAAAAATGTCAGCAGCTAAACTGGGCCTTACACTTCCAACTGAAACATTCACAGAGGCTCATGCTCACATCCCCACAGCTCATTACCTGTGGTTATGTTACTGCTTGAGCAGAAAAGGAATTGCAAGAACTAGATGAAAGAACCACCCTGACAGAGCAGTCCGTGGTTTGGGGTTTTTTCCATAAATAAGCACAAGCAGAATGAAAACAGGATGCAGAATGCACAGCCATCAAGCCCACAATGGCTAAACAAAAGCTGTGTGAAATCTAAACTCTTAAGTCTTCCTCCTCTTTTTCTTTTTTCCTTTATATATCATAGAAAAAGGCCATTGTGTTACTGTAAAAATTACTAACATTTATTTGGAAATGGTTTTGGATAGAAAGCAGAACTAAGAGGAGCAGGGAAAGAGAATAATTTAAAAGCTGAGTTTTTGCTTCTTATTTTAATAAAAATAATTATGTTCTGGAATAAACAGACTGTGCTATCCAAATTCTATAGCACAAAGCATGATTATTATATGAGTATCTGGTAATTATTTAAGTTCCACAACAGGGTGTTTACTATGACAAAAAAACCCCAACTTTTCACTCCCAGAACTGGGTCTGGTCCCGCTCCAGCCTATGAATGTGATTTCCTGACCTCCATAATGAAGGGAACACACGACACAAGGCTTGCACAGGAAAGGCTGATCCCAGCAGGTTCAAACAGTTTTCCCAGTAATGTTCTCCTGCAGTCATTACCAACCTCTCCTCTCACTTCATTTCCATTATTACTTTTAAGGGAAAGTAATCTGGGCGTGGAAACCGTTTAAAATTACACAGAGGCCCTCCTGAGTGAGTCAGAAGTAATGCAAACTTGAGCAGCAGCTGCTGGGACAGGCTTTGCCACCCACACTACTGAGCATGGAGATAACAGCAGGAACAAGTGAGAAAGATCCATCACCAGCCCTCCCTGAATGTGTTTCAGTGGGAAGAGCTGCATGGAGCTGATTTGCTGTGGATGGAAACCTGCAGCCTGTACATGTGCAAGGTGGTGACTGTTGGGGCTTTTTATACAGCCAGCAAACTGCTCTCTGAAGGGGGAATTAAACAAACTTATCATTTTGCCTAGTGTCAACTCAAGTACGTAAATTGGATTATGCTACTGGGTTTATACTCCACAGTGTAACTTACTGAGTGCTAACAAGTGATGCCAATAGTAAGGCAACGAACAAAATAAGATAGTGGGCAAGAGACATTAAGTTATCCAGAGACTGATAAAACAATAAACATTGATCAAGATATCCAGCCAGTCTGAAAGTTTGGGACTGGTTCCTAACATTGTAAATACTTCTCAAAAAGCATTGTACTTGAAAAGGGAAGCTGCTGTACTAGTAACCAATCAACCTAGGAAAGAAAAATCACAAGAAAAACTGAAATGCAGGAAGACATCTATTGCTTAAAAACGAAACAGAACGGATGGGATATCAGTAGGTGGCACCATCCACAAGCACCAAGAATGTGCCACAGTTGCCCCCATGCAAACGAGGAGGACCCCACTTCAGCACTGCCCTGCGCATCAGGCATTACCAGACCTGGTTTGGTCACTGTTCATTGATTTCCACCAGAACTATCTTCCAGTTGTTTGTTAATTTTCCAGCTTTAAAAAGCAGTGATGGGAATTCCTATCCAAGCCTGGCTCTTCTGAAGTAACCTTCAGCCAAGATGGGTTTGTCACAAAGCCACCTATTTAACAGGAAGGATAAAATCCTAAAGACTGCCCATTCAGTGAATGCTTCACACAATTAGGAAGCAGCATGGGGGGCAAAAAAGCACCCAATATGGCTCAAAAATATGCACAGAGAGGAAAACTAAGCTTTCAGAGCACCAGCACTTTGCTCTCCCCACACCACACAACCCCCCTGCCAGCACAGCTCTCCCTACTCAATGACATTGAAGTGGAAAGACAAAGGTCTTAAAACAGCACTCAGACCCCAGCATGAGAAATGGGAACATATCTCTGTTTTCTTGTTACATAAAGCTTTCAGAAGACACAGTTTAGGATGACAACATTACCCAGCATATGCTACATGAGAAAATTTCCAAACCCACATAGAAAGCTGGTCCATGCCCAGATGACAGCTTGATCCACATTTGCAAATGAAGGACTGAAAAATCTTTTCAAAACACTTATCAGCTTAGTTCTCTCCAGAAAGATGCATTAATATGCTACACATTATGAAATGCTCCTTAAGCAGCATTTCCCTGCCACCACAAATCTCTCTGGCTCATGGATGAGTGGCCACTGCCCCATCCCCAACCAACAAAACACATACCTGCTTCTAAAAACCACAGGAGATCAGATAATCCACGTGTGCTGTCCTGACCAGTGACTGGAGCTGGGAAAAATGTACAAGGGAACTGCCCTGTGAAAACAAATGAGCAAAGAATTACAGAACATACTCAGCTGAAGCCCAGAAAGATCCTTCATTCAATACACCTTCACTCCCAGCCTGCTTTAGATTCAAAATTCAAAAACTGCACCATTGTCTGGAGCTGTTAAACATAAGAACCTTTTTATGTGTAAAGTTTTTTACAATCAAGCCACTCTTCAGCTGCAAGATTTCCACCCTGGCCATGCCAATGGCATTCCGAATCACTTGAGAATGAATTGCACTCAAGCTTTGCATTCTTTAGGCAGCTTTCAGCACAAAACCCAGCTGATAGAAGCAATGGGATCTCAGCTGAATCTCTGGAATTGTGTGCCTGGCACTGCAGGAAGAGGGGCCAAAGGCTGGTGAAGCCATTGAGAATGCACTTTCTCTATCAGATCTGGAACTGGTCTCTCCAGGTGAGGGTGAGGCAGATGTGCAGAGCCAACAGGGAAGTTTGGGCTCCTGTGCTCACCTCTGGCAGCAGAATGTGGATCTACTCCCCAGTGCCACTTTTCCATTCCTTTCTCACAAAGAAGAGTGACCCCTGCATTTCGAGAGCTGCGGTGTCAGTCAGGAATGACTGAATTCTTCACTAAACTCTGTTAAAAGAATAAATGCTTCAAGCCTGTCCTGCTGCATCCAACACACTGCAAATGGACATAATTGGGTCACCTAATTCTCCCCTGTTTGCCAGGCACAGACAACGAAATTTAGTTCTCATTACTTTCAAGATGATTCACATGACGGAATAATAAACAACAAAGATCTATATATTAGAGCCAACCCTGCCAGCCCAGCTTTGCCAAGGAATAATGTGAGTCTGAGAACACCCCTCCCCTTGCCCAGCAGGACAGAAATGTGTCCTGCAGGCCAGCACTTCCCTCCCCACTGCCTGCAGAGGGCTGGGTGAGGATCCCAGGCATTCCATGTGGATGGGCAGAGCCAGGAACGCCTGCCATGCCCATCTGTGTCCCTCCAGAGCCCCTCCTGGGCTGGGCACAGGCTGGGCAGCACCTTCACACTCAGCACCCTGTGGATTGGAGCTGCAGGTCTGGCAGGGCAGGAAGTCAGAGAGCAGAGGAAAGCAGACCTGGGTTTGGAACGGGCAGGTGGAGCAGGGACTTTGCACCTAAAAACACCTGGGCTGCTTCGCAAGGATGTCACCCAAGGAATGTAACAGCTAAGTGCTTCCAATTTTCCCACTTCCAATTTCCTCACCTCTCCTCATTGCTCCTTGTTCTGAAAACTCTCTAATGAAAACAAAATATATTTCTTCCCATAGTGAATTAAAAGACCACAGTGGCTTTCTCTTCAACCACTGACCCCAGACACAACAGTACATAATGGAAAAATACTGTAACTGCAGTTAGTCTTCCCTTTTATTCTTCTTTCCTAACTAGGTTTAGAACATCAGCTATTGGGGTTTCACTTCAAAAAAATGCAGACAGGAGAAATCTGTACTCAGTTTAACTTGTCTGTTTTACCAACAGATGGAAACAGCTCCTCAGGAAACTCAAGCCTCACCAGTAAGAGCTGTTTTGACTGAACGCCCTCAGAAGAAGATTCCAACAACACACAGCAACTGAAAATTACAGATTTGTAACTGCATTTCCTTCACTTCCACCTACACTGGTACGAAATCCAAACCTGGAAGGGACTTTCTGCTGGACAATGTCACAGGTAAGTTCATAATTAAGAACTCCCAAATTCTTCTGACTCCCCTCCTGTCACCTTTTTAAATAAACAAACAAAAATTTCACATCTCAACAGAAAAAGAGACATGCTAAAAAAAAAAATGCATCTTTATAAATTTTGCATAAAGGAAGTTATTTAAGCATCCCATTCAGTTTTAAAGCCGTGCTTATTTAATGACACGAGAAAGCAACATGAGCTGTAGTCCTCTGTAATGCTGAAATTCCTAATGGCCACATTTTACTGGAATGGGAAAACACAAAGTGCAACTGAGGAATCTGCACGGCCTAAATTAAGGGGGACAAAAACAAAAAGGCAGTAAGCTGTTGGAAAATGTAGTATTTTACATATTCAGTCTTAATAATTTAGGGTACTTAGAGCAGCCATCTGCAAGTTCTTTAAAGCCTAAGTCACAGCTGAGTACCTCTTTAATATCTTGCAGCATTTCCAGTTATAGCCAAAAGAAACCCAACAGGAGTTAGTTCAGCTACAATTTATTTTTTTGTTGAATCTGACTGGTTCTGTTGAAGGCAGTGAAAACCCTCAATTAATGGGAAAGGATTATAAAGCTCAGCTAAGGAGTTATGGTGAATAAACCCGAGCCCTGCAGGTTCCCTTTGCTCCACACAAGCGGAGTTCAGAGCAGCAGGAAGGGTCCCTTTGACTCTCTGATATCATTATCAAGGTTAAGCCATTCCCTCCACAGTGCCACCACCAAGCACTTCAGTGCTTCAGCACGGTCCTACTGGGAAGCTTGGAAGTGCAAGGGGATCCTGCCCCTAATTTAAGCCTTGTTAATTTTCAAATGACATTTTTCAGAGAATAGTTAAGAGCCCAAAGAACCTTCCAAGCTGGAGCCTGAAACCTGAAGTCAGGAACCAGAGCCTGCAAAAACCCTGCTACAAATTTTCCTCTAATTCACTCTGACTCGTGACCTTCAGTCACAGGCAGCTGGAGACTGGATTAATTCCCATCTCCAGAGGGATACAATGAAGAATTCATAACAGCTACCTATTTATAGGTGAACAGTATGAACTGAAATATTTAATACGGGGTTTTTTTGTCTTCCTTTCTATGCTCAGTGCTACCTTTTAGCTGACTTCAGAATCTGAACCCAGTGTCAGATTTAGGTCAATTTACTGCTGGAACTCCCAGACGTGGTAGGTTCACATCTCTTAAATGTTAGATTTAAATTTTTAACGAGACACTACAGTACTCCTTCTTGAAGGAGGACAGGAAACAGCCCCAAACACGGCCACTTATTCATGAAACATTTATGAACACAAGCAGGGGGTTTTCTCCCCAGTGCTGGAACACCTTTCAGAGCTTCAAAAGTACCAGTGAAGTGCATTCCACAGAGCTTCCCAATACACCAAAACAGTTCTTACATCAATGCTCAAGCTGACTTAGAAAATAAATTTAAAAAATCCTACCATCATGATCACCACTTTAATGAAATGAAATTTGCCTCCTGACCTTCAGGCACACACAAACCAGACAATTTCCCCCCCTTGTCTCAAGGACAAGACACTCTCACATCTCACACAGTTAAAAGAGGCAGCACAGGGTTTTAGGTAGTTCACGTCAGTCAACTTGAAGCCTCTGAAATTAAACGTAGTAACAGCAACAAAACCTGAAAGAAAGCCTTTCATTTCACAGAGGTATTCACACTTCAAAGATGAATGTGTCAAAAATTCTTTAAAAAGTGACAGCACTTTATAAAGAGCAGTTTATACACAAGTTGCACCCCAGTCCAAGAGACAATTCCAATACTTTACTCACAATGGTCCCCAACAGCTGCAAGGACAGTGCTGCTCCTGTCCCAACCATGGGCTCTTCTCCTATTTAAAACAAAGCTACAAATCTTCTAGGCAGGAAATTAGGCACTAATGATAGATAGCCAATGATTTAATTACCAGGTACCCCACTGAAGAATTACAGCTAAAAAGTGTTCAGCATCCATCATTAAAATAGAACATCAGAGCCAAGCTTTGTATGGATTTATCTGTAAATCTTTTATTTCAGAAACAGAAAATTTCTGGAGAAGATTTCAGTGCCATTTCTGGAGTGACCAACTTCTCCCACCCCACACAGACAGTGCTGGGTGCATTTAACCTGAAATGGCAGAGAGCACACGTGGTGGCACAGAAAGGCTCTCTCCCCTGTGTGTGTACATATATTTACATATTTTTTATATATGTATTTATAGGCATTTCTCTGGTACTCATCTATACAGGATCTACAGACAGCCAGGTATTAGTGAGAGCCCTCAATGTGCTGCCCTGTAATTTTTACTGACATCTGAACATCATTATTGCCAGGTCACAGCCATTCCACACTGCAAATGCCTATAAATCTGTTATTGTAAAAAGATTATGGCCAACAAGATTTTTTAAAAGCAATTAAAATGTGAGCTGTTATTAAGTTGGTGACTAGTTAGCATTTTAGTATTTTGCAATAGTGTATCAAAGTACATTGTTAGGACCAGAGACTCTCAGATTAATAGTTCTTTACTACCAAAATTGTGTAACCATTGGACAGCAAAATTAAACAGTGTTCTGGCCTCCTACATCAATAAAATCTGCTGTAAAATGTGGCAAGCACAGCCCCTTATGTCTCCTAGTTATCTTGCCTCTTTAGGAAAAAAACCCCTAAACTTCTGTGCTGCTTTCCCCATGGATGCTCTGAATAACAAAAAAGAGCAAAGAAGAGGTTTCAGTTCTGAATCAAGGTTTAATTTTCAAAACCATTTAAAGAGATCTATTATTAATAGCTCTTGCTGTGAGCTGAACTAAGAATTAATGGCTCTTTGTCTAACATGACCACATGCCTTGGTCATGTCTGCGGTACCAAGCAGAACACAAACTCTGCCTCCTCAGTGCCCCCTGAGCAGCAGCAGAGCTCCTGGAGAATACGGGACTTTTGCTCCTAAGACCTTCATCAAACAATAATAATAATAATGCACAAGGCTTTTCCTGGATAGTGTTCCATAGGCTGGTCTCAGTAGAGTCTGCCAAGTATGCCAGCTTCTCTCTTCTCTGAAGGACTTACTAGAAACAAAAAGCACAAGAGGAGGATTTTTGCTCCTTCCTTAGGTCACCAAACAAGGCTGTGCTGCCAAGATATCTGATGGACAGAGGAGGGAGGAAGGAAAAAAGTCCTTGTCAGTTTTAAGAGAGGACTTTTAACATTCACTATTGAAAACAAATTCCTGATTGCGCACCAATTTTACCACGGACATCTTCCTTTCCCTATGTTTTGGCCAAGTGGGACTGCAAGGAAGGAAATCTTGCCTTCAGGGGACTTCGTATTTCTCAGGAAAATGGATGCAATTTCCTTCCTGCCTAGCCACCATTCTGAATGTCACCTTAACTCCACGGGCTGTGGCACAAAGCTGCAGGAGGTGAGTGGTGTGAGAGCTGCAGAGTCCCCTCAGCACTGAACAGACCCAGGGACTGCAGGGCCCGGGGCTCCAGCGAGCCCCCATCGGTTCTGGCACTGAGCAACTCCTGAGCACAGGGGAAGGACACAACACACGTGCCAAAGGCAACCACATGTGAAAACACTAATTTGGATTAATCAAACTGCAGTGCATAATGATAGTAACAACAGGAGTTAGCCCAGACACCATTCACAACAAAGCTCGAGAGCGGCTGATCCTTACACAAGTTAAAAGCACTGCAAGACCCCAGGAGCAGGACTGCACCCAGCCACCACCAATTTAAGGCAGAATGGGCCAAGAGAATGACTGGAAGAGCAGGCAGATTTCTGCCAAATCATAAGCACAGTTAGGTACACCTCTGTTATGGTTAGCTGCCCAACAAAAGGCAGGAGCTGATAGCAATTACATCTGAAACTGCAGCTACCAAGAGCAATGAAATGAACCCACAGAAAACAAAGGGCCAAACTGCAGTGCCTCACATGTGCTGTTTCACACACAGTGCTTCATTTTAAGATTAAAACATAGATTATAAAAGTTACTGAGCTAAGAATCTGGACAGTGAAACAGAATGGTTGCAGCTCGATGTGAACTGTGAAAGGCTTATTTTACCAAGTTCATTGTAGCTGCTGACCAAGACTTCAGCAATAAAAGTTCTGTTTAGCAAAACCTGATGTTTCTGACCTCTGAAGTTAAGCAAAACCTTCCACGAATTCCACATAAACCTACGAGTATTATTTGGCATCTGCAGACATTCCTGAAAAAAGGCAGCTAAGAAGACATGAATGCTCCTATTTTTCTCAATTTGGCATCAACTCTTAAAGTTAATTATATTGTAAGTGTTATTGCTGATTGGTTTTGCATAAACATTCAGTTAACTGTGTTTATCTTGAAGTCTGATATTGCCTCCCCCGACCAACTGAGCAAGCTGCCAAGGCACAAAGAAATTTCCAGTTTCCCACATAAGATCCAACACACTCAAAGTTAGGAAACTCCATTAAAATTACATTAAAATGGCAACAGGCACCAGAGATCCCTGCAGCTGCACTATTCCCTCTTCAGTTTTACAAAAAGCCTTCCTTCAGTAGTTTACCTGAAGTTGTTTCAGGATTTATATTCCTCCTTTACAGCAATTCTGCTGTAAAAATTTAGGTCACATTTCCTTTAAGGATGCACGTCCAGGTGTACTTATTTAAAGCTCAAGGAAATTAATTAAAAGCTCCTCACTGACTTCACTGTGCATTGAATCAGGACCTGGATGAGTTCAGAGGCAAAACAATTACACTTTAATTAAACATCTCCACCTTCATGTGAAGTAGTCAACTAATTTTATGGAAGGATAAACTGAGTCAGAAGGTTTCTGAGCTTGGTCATGGTCATAAACAGAGTTGATTACCTAAGTTGTTTCCATATTTTTTAGCTACCCTTATAACACAGAGAAAATGGACTTGGTGAAAATCAAATAAATTCCTGTTCTGTGTATTTGCATAGAATAAAACAGAATGTCCTGAGACAAGTGGAATGGTTGTACAAATTTACTGACTCCACCTCTGTTCCCCAATCAGTAGCTCATTTAGTCAGTCACAGGAATTCCAATAATGCAAGAAGCTGAAATTATTAGAGGGATTTTTTGAGATTTTTAGGCTGCCTTGTTTGTTTTTAAATATCATGACTAATTATATCTATATTATTTTTGAAAACAGAAATAGGCTTGGCAGATTTGATACTTGTAAAACCTTGGGTGTATTTACTGAAAAGCAAGAAGTATGACTCCACTTTCTGAATTCAGACTGACATTTAAACCCTACAGAAGCTCTGCAGGGTTCTGTCAGATCACCAGCAGTGAGCAGAAACAAGAATGAGCTTTCCTCACTTTTTTGAGCATTTGTTATATAATGCTTCCTCAACACTAAGGCTGAAAATAAATCTGAGAGTCAGGAGAGTGTTCTCCTCATTCTAGTAATAACTAATGGGTTTTGGTTAATTTGCTGATCTTTGATGTCTCCTCACCTCTAGTTCTGCTCCCTGTGCTCCATCTGCACTCTCGTGGCAATGGAAGCTCATGGACAGGGCACAGCTCTTCAAAGGGAAAAAGAACTCTAAGAGTTCTCCATTCTCAGAGATATAACACTGAACAAAGTGGTTTGGGGGTTTTTCCTAAATGAAGTTACTTGGTAAAAAGTTTTCAGCACATTTCAAACCCATTTACTTATAATTTCTCCCTCATACGTAGAAGTAAGACCATTGAATTACCAACACTGGATGTGGAATAGGTGACAATGCTTTCATTCCAATAATTTATATCTTTGGTGCACATCACCATCAAAACTGGGACCAGTCACACAATAGCTTTAGCCCAGAACATAAACATTTGGCACATTTGGCAGGACTGCAATTTTCCCAATCACTTCTGCACTACACACCCCATGGTGTGGTGCAGCTGTAGCTGCTGCCTCTGTCCTTGCTGCATTTCAGCAGGAAACCCAATCTGATCACAGCCTGCACAGTTTTGCCTGTGCATGTATAGGAATATTTCTGATACCAAATCCTTTTATTTTGGAAAAAATTCTCCTGGAAGTTTCTCCCAGCATCTCCAACAGCAGCCCCCCAAAGCCTATTGCCTTTCTGTGCACAGCACTTGGGTGGATGTTTGATGCTTCAAACTAGGTCAGATGCTCAGGAGGGTGCTTTGTAGTCAACAACCAACTGAAATACTTGGTAAAAAACATAAATGTTTGTGTTGGTTACAGATGACAAATATTTTGGAGAGGAAAATCTTCTATTAAACACATATAAATAGATCTAATTCTGACAAGCAGTTTCCTAGGCAAAGCACCAACCTTGAACAGCTTAACCACATCAGGCACTTTTAGGTGTTATCTCTGTTTGCCCATATGCAACTGCAGGATGATTTTTAATTTTTGGCAGCAGATATGTATCACAGTCATTGTTAGCAGTTACAAAATCCAGGTTTTGTTTCCGTTCGCTTCTGGTTTTGTTTAGAAAACAACACAAATTGTTTTGGAAACGTCTCCCTCCTCTTGCAAAGTGAAGCACTCTCAAACCCTGGATGGGGACAAGGATGGAGCGGAGCAGAAAGGGAAACAGCGACAGATTTCCCATAAATGTGGGATTCAGAACTGGCTTTCCCAAACACTGCACAGGATGTTCTGTCAGTGACAGAGCAATAACTGATTTGTTCAGACAGGGCCAGGGGCTCCTGCTCACCGTGAGCCACAGCCCTGCTGATGGCACAGGGACTGGCACAGGGACGGGCACAGGGACCCCTGCCAGCCCAGGGATGCTTTCCCTGCTCAAGATTTCACTGCACCTCAAGAGGAATCCTGAAAGCACTCTTCTGCCCTGTGTAACTTTTCCATAACTTGTTGCAAGGCTTACAATGAACTAAAAGAGAAAATTGCTTTAAAACAGATTTGGATCCAACCCACTACCAATTGAGCTTTTCATAAACGGCCTTTGCTCCTAAATTTGTTCAGTCCTTCTTCAGAGATTTATTATTTCTGTGTACCACATCAACTAAGACAGCACACAGATCCCCAACAACTCTAAATTACACTGAGGGAGCTGCCAGTTTCTCCCACGATGCCAAAGATACAATAACTGATGATGCTTTTTCAGCTGAGGACAAAGTGAAGCAACAGAAATGCATCTGAATTACACCTGTCACCATTTTCCAAATTAATCTGTCAAGGCAAAAGTGGCTTGTAGCTTGGTAAGAAAACCAGCCTGTATTTTCTGTATGTTCTCTCACCTTGAATACCCGTACTTTCAGAATAAACCCCACTGAAGTACATGTTTAGCCTCATTTTTTCACCATTTACATAGAGGTTCTCCTTCAGCAGGCTATTTCACATCACACATGAGCTCCAAAAATAAGCAAGGCCAAAAGAAATTGAAAGGCTGTGCGTTCAGCAGCCAAAAAAAAAAAATATAGTAGGATTTTGTAAATGTATTTAAAAATACGTTCTTAAATACTCTCTAATCACGCCTCTCACCATACTGGAGCCAGCTTAGACCAGGACTGTGAACCAGCACACCTAACTTGCCTCCAATGGTGTTTTGATTCTTTTTTTAAATCCTCACATCTGCAGAATGTCTCATGCTCATCTCACAGAGCATCAAAGCTCATCCCGTTCAACATGCCAGGATGAGGAATGGACAAATAAAAGATGATATACAACAGAGCAAAATATTCTCTTCTTCAAGAGAAAGCAAACCCGAGCCTGTGAGGCAAACATGCCCTGATGAAGCACATCTGGATGTTGAGCAGAAACGAGGATCACGTCCCATCTGTCTCTGACACATTCTGATCCGGAGGGTGATGCTGTCCCTCTCTCACGTATCTTCCCAACAGGTAAAAGCTAACATGTGCCAACAAACACCGCCCATGTACACTGAAAGTTACCGAGCGCTGCCTCAGAGGCTCTGGAAATCCAGTTTTTAGCCGAGGCAGGATTACCCCGAGGGAAGCCCTTCAGTAACCACTGTCCGAGAGGCGTTCGTGCAGCGAGGGCCGGGATGCGCGGGGGCTGCCCGGCGCTGGGTGGCACCTGCCGTCCGTCCCCCCGGTACACTCCGGGCACCGCTCCGGCTGCCACCGCAGCGCAGCCGTGCCCGGGTGGGACCCCGGAACGGGCGCCTGGTGACGCAAGGGGTGATGGCAGAAACGAGAACGGCACCTCCCGTACCTGTGCCGCGGGGCCAGGGCCTGCCGGCGGAGCGGGGAGGCCCGGCCGGCGGAGCGGAGCCGGCCCGCAGCGGAGCGGAGGGAGCCGGCCCGGGCCAGCGCCTTTGTTCGCGGCCGCGCACAAAGGGCACCGCGCTCACCTGGTGCGGGGCCCGCGGCCCCGGCGCTCCGGCGGCTCGGGCGGCGGCGGGGCGCGCTCGGCACGGGCGGGCGAGAGCAGCGGAGCGGAGCCGAGCGGAGCCGCCTCCTCCTCCTCCGTCGTGACTCACCGCGGCGGCCCGAGGGAGGTGCCTGGGCGGCTCCGGGGGAGGGACCCGCCGCGTCCCGGCGCCCAGGGCAGCGGCGGCGCCGCAGGCAGCACCCGAGAGCCGGCCGGGAGGAAGGGGCGGGGACGCGGGGCAGGGCCGGGGAAGGGGCGGGCAGGCCGGGCAAGGGGCAGCGCCGGGGCAGGGCTGGGGAAGGGGCGGGCAGGCCGGGCAAGGGGCAGCGCCGGGCAGGCCGGGCAAGGGGCAGGGCCGGGGCAGGGCCGGGGAAGGGGCGGGCAGGCCGGGCAAGGGGCAGCGCCGGGCAGGCCGGGCAAGGGGCAGCGCCGGGGCAGGGCCGGGGAAGGGGCGGGCAGGCCGGGCAAGGGGCAGCGCCGGGGCAGGGCCGGGGAAGGGGCGGGCAGGCCGGGCAAGGGGCAGCGCCGGGGCAGGGCCGGGGAAGGGGCGGGCAGGCCGGGCAAGGGGCAGCGCCGGGCAGGCCGGGCAAGGGGCAGCGCCGGGGCAGGGCCGGGGAAGGGGCGGGCAGGCCGGGCAAGGGGCAGCGCCGGGGCAGGGCCGGGGAAGGGGCGGGCAGGCCGGGCAAGGGGCAGCGCCGGGGCAGGGCCGGGGAAGGGGCGGGCAGGCCGGGCAAGGGGCAGCGCCGGGCAGGCCGGGCCCCGCCGCGGGACTGCTCCGCCGGGACAGCCCGGCACGCACTCACCTGAGCAGCATCCCCTGGAGGAACGCGGTGCCGAGGTCCCGGCGCTCCTGCTGTCCCTCCCGGTCCGGGGCTGCCGCGCTCGGGCCGCCCAGATCCATCCCAGCGGGGCGCGGGGCTCAGTAACGCTGCGCTAAGAAAGTTAAAGACACTGCAACATCCAGTATAGCTTGAGCTAATTCAGCCAATACAGAAAATGCCAGCCTCCAACTAGAATAAGTGGTCATTTGGTCATTGAAGCACTCAAAAATAAAGTAATGCTTCACCTACATTGACTGAAGAAGAGTAAAACCCCAGTGAACACAGAGAGGAATTAATTAAGACTAAAAACCAAAGAAGACAGAAGCCACCAAAGGCTCTTCACCCTGCTCCACCACTCATCTGCATTATGGTTTCCCACTAGGTTAACAGTAACCCTGCCTCCTTACAGGGTGCATTGGTGAGGCCAGCAAGGTAAGTACAAAATTCCTGGAGATGAAAATGCTTTGTGAACCAAGTGTTATTTAGTAAAATGCATCTGTTCTCCACTCGGTATTTAACTTAATTGCATAAAGATAGTCACAGTAATGAAATAGGTGGCACTTCCTTTAACAGCTTGATACTTAATGACATCAAAGCCCGATGCCACTGAAATCCAAACCCCACTGCCAGCTAATGAAGGGCTTAACATGAAAGCCTCTGCAAAGAGCAAACCCAAGCCTCTGACAGGAACAGGAATGGTGCAAATGTGCTGGGATCTGAGATCACTGGCACATACCCACAGCACAGCAGGCAGTAATGATTATTAATTATTTAAGAAAAGAACATAAGAGCTCCAGCATAAGCTGAAAAAAATATGCAGAAGCATTGCACTGGGATCCTCCAGTTGGATTACTGTTAATTAGCACAGTACATGAGTCTGAGGGAAAGATCTAAAAGCATCTTATGCTAGTGGGAGCATATAATTAAGCCATCATTTGCATCCTTGCAATAGTATGAATTTCCTTACTGATAACATCATGGGCACAACACCATTTTATGACTAAGTACTGTCTAGCTCTCCTAATTCAGCTGGCTGACTGTACAGCAGTGCAATGCAATCTTACACATCAATTTAACATCCTGCATTTATTTAGGAAGAGTTTTAGCAGGGAGAGATACCACAAGGCTTCCTCTAGCCTAGGAGAATTTTAGATTTATTTTCCTAAATCTGAGCTCCTGCCCTACCTTAGTTTATTCTCTTTGAGCTTACCAAGATGTTTAGCTATCAAGCAAGGTGACATCTTGCCCTTAGTCACTTGTATCATCATAAGACATGATGGATGCTCAAGAGGCCTCTCAACTATGCTAGGTCTGCAAGAGATGGAGTAAAATATTGTTCATGTCTCATGGGAATGCACAGAGCCTCCCAAAGCAAACAGAATGTAGAACTGCACGTGATCAAATCTGTTACCTCCCAATCATCACGCTGCCTGAGCTAACCCTCAGCAAGGGAATGTCAGAAGTTTAATTATCTAAAGGTTAAGTCTAACATTTTTACAAGTATTGTATAAAGACTTGATATTATTTTACCAAAATCTATCAGATTAAATGGATTTTTCTTTTCAACAGCTTCTAATCTCTTGTTTAATGAGGCTGCTGTTTATTCTAGTAAGCCAAAACTTCATGAAACCTTTTCCTCCGAATCCCTGCTTGACTTAGAAAAATTCTCTCAATTCACCCTGTCCTTCCTGATCTGCATTTGTTTCTTAATCAGCTGGGAAATTCATTTAGGATTCCTTCACAGCACAGCTGCTTCCACCCTCCATGTCCCTCTGTACTCGTTGGCATCCCCCTCTCATTAAGGGCTTCCAGCAGCATCTGCACACACAATCCCTGCTTTCATGATCCTGATTCAACCACACACAACAATAATGAAAACTCTTTCTCTCCAAGATGTGTGGGGTACCCAATGAAGGACTTGTTTTTAGTTTGGAATCTCTTTTGTTAATATTTTATATGTCAGACTTAGTCTGATAATTCAAATCCATCAAAATCGTGCATTGATCCCACTTCAGCCAGCAGTGATGGAGCCTGAACTGCCTGGCCATGGGGTGTCATTTACACAGAGCTCTCTATCAAAATGAATTTGACTTTTACAGGCAAAGTAGCATGAGAAACTAAGGGATCTCTTAAGAAATCTTGTATTTTTTCTTCAGCACAAAGGTAACTTGCTACTTTTCCATTCAAGATCAAAGAAAGGAAATAACTCAAGGAGACAAAGATAGAAGAAAGAGAGGCAGAATATTTGAAGCTTCAATTTTCTAACACTTTTTCCTTCAGATCAGTACAATCACTGAATTCACTCTATAGAGAAAGAAGATTAAAAAAAGGAGGTTACATACGGCCAAAAAAGGACTCTGGGAACTTTGCTGATGTGTTTAAAGCTACTGTACTTTACAGTTCTTATTTCAGAAGTAAAATGATAAACAAAAAACAAAGCACTTTTAATCTTCAAAGCAATGTATGATCAATAACAACTTCACAGCACTCGATATTTAAGGATCATAATCTGTATTTTACTCCAGGAAAGAAAGATGTGTACAGAATGAGTGATCTGCCCAGGTCCAACACGCAGCTGGGGATGGGACTCACACATCACAAGCTTGTTTGTTAAACACAAACCCATGCTTTCACTTAGCAGCTGTTCTTTTGTTACCAGTTTTTATTTGTGGAAATCATTATTATAATAAATAGATTTTTTTTACAGCCCCTGCAGAAACATTTGAGATGGTGGTGGAGGTACATCCCAGGATTATTTAGCAAAGTATTTAGCACAACACACCAATTAACTTACTATGCCTTAAATCAATCTAACTATTTCAAGAAGTTACTTAACTCTCTGTAAGGGTCAACACATGAATAGCTTCACATCAGCAGCAGCTTCCTTGTTAAATCACATTTATGGCCAGGGCATTCTGCAGGACACAGCCAGACTCTGGGTAGAGCTCTGATTTCTGACCCTTCACAGCTTCTGAGAAGAGAAGTCTGACCCAACACACTGAATCTTGCAATACTGGTACTGATCTCAGTCTCATCTCTGTCCATCTAAACCACCAGAGATCCTTCCAAGAGCAGAAGCAGCAGAGGTTGGAAAGATGTTCAGGCAAGGATCAATTTAATTGGAATGTTACAACTGCCCGCAGTACAGGTATTTGCAAAAATCCTGAAATATTTACAAACCAATTTAAAAAAGTTTCTCCTGGAAACGTACACCTGTCAAACTACAAGGAAAAAGATTTCCATGTCATTGTACTGTAAACTTTTTGTGAGTGCTGAGAGATTTAATTTACATAATAATGCTGCAAGCAGGCTGGGAGTGTATGGGGAGAGAGTTCCTTAGCACCAGTAATGAGCAGAAAGGAAAAGAAGGCAGCTCCAGTCCTCACAGACTGTTTTGCTTCCCATAATTTCAGAGTCTAATAACGCCTTTTAATAAGCTGCTCTCAGCTATGAAGCTGCAATCAGCCTTTGTCAGAGAACACAATGCTGTCCCAGACAGAAAATAGTTCTGCTGGAATGGACAAAAGACCCCTCCTCAATAAAGGCTTTCTAATAACAGAGAGAAAGAAGTTCTACCAGTGAGAAAAAATCATGCTATCTCTATCCTGTATCCTTTCATTTCTTAAATGCTAGATGTCAAAAGTATATCTGTTAAAGCAAAATACAGTCTAGAAACACATTTTCTAGTCTACTCCAGTCCCAGTTTACAATTAGACAAATTTGCTAATTTATAGGGTATTTATGCCCTGTAAGTGCACTCTAAATGACGACTGACCACGTTAATTTTCTGTTTATAGTCAATGCTACCCACTTAGTCTCTGAGCTAAAAATTCAACTATGAGATTTCAAATCCTCCTAAGCTTAGTTAATTCAGGATCCAGTGGAGACACAGACCCTCCCCTCTCCATAGCACCACCACTGAGACTGAACAACACTTGCACTGATGTCATAACGGGAGCTTTTTTTGTTTCTACTTGCAAGCTATTTCATGCCCCCTCTGAAATAACAGCAGTGTGCATTTACACACCAGAGCTGAAGGAAGAGCATCTCACTGCCATGTCCTATCAATTCCTGTCCTTTCAATACACAAGGTTAAATGACTCCAGAAGCCTCCCCACAGGGCTGCCATTGTCCTCAGCCAGGGCTGGGACACAAAGTGCTCATTCATGTGCACGGCAAACAAGCAGCCAAGGGCCAGTGATCAGCATCCAGGCTCATTTTGGGTCTTCTGCAAACAGTTTGTAGAAAGATGGCATTTCAATAAACTACATCCATTTTCCAAAGCTTCAATGCCTTCCTAGCACAAACTACTTAGTGGGGAGTCCAGACAAAAATTAAGACAATGTGAAGAATCACCCAAAAAAACCATCGGGACCACTTCACAAAAAGATCTGCTTGCTACAACCACATGCAAAAAGATTAAGTTTTAATACTTAGAGAAATACACATTCAGAAAAGTTCAAAACAACTGACTCTTTCGAAAGACAGTCACACCATGCTTTTGTTTTAGAGTTCCTCTTAGTGTTCAGCCTCAGAGCTTGTATTACTGAAAGGGTACAGATACCAAGGTCCCAAAGTGCACTTAAGGCTGTTTACTTCATATCTTCTGCTTAAGGACCCAAGAGATTTAGGGCTTGGGTTTTTTGTTTTGCTTTGCTTTTTTTTCCAACATGTAAAAAATAGAAAAACCAAGCGCAGTATGACCAAAATCCAATGCTGCTGATAACTGGAGACACAAGCCTCACGAACCTCTTCATTGTTTTGCCTTTTCTACTTCAACACTTGCAAGAGCAAAGACCTTGTCTCCTGATCCTGAGGGGGAAAAAGCATTTTCAGTAAGTATTAGTGGAAATTGTGAATTACCTTATATACAATTTAAATCAAGCAAAACATTTGAGATCCAAAGAAATCAAACCTACATTGTGAAAACTTGAACACTTGAGCAAATTAAAAAAACCCCACACAGGCTTGCCAGGTCTAGAGCAGCCATGTCCTACTGTGCCTGGCTGGGATGGAGCTCCCTTTCCCCAGATTCCCCTGTAGAGCTGTGCTTTGTGTTTGTAGCTGGAATGGTGCTGGTAACACCCCCACACACAGAGCTACTGCCCAAGTCCCCTCTGGAAGAGAGGGTTCTCACCTGGCTTACACTTCCAGGGAGGGCAGAGCTGAAAGGTGGGGCACCCAGACAGTTTATCTGTACCCTGAGCTAGTCTGGCACGTTCCTGCCATTCATAGCTCTTTCATCCCAGTTTTAACTACTACTACAATGAACTGTGTGCTTATTTAATGCCTTTTGTAACTCAACTCTTGATCCTGTCAACACAATCAGAGGTATGACAATCATGGCAGGAAGAGTGCTTTAAAGCTGTATTTTGACAATGTGCCAGTAACTGCCAAATTCTCTGCATCAAGCAGAGGACACAGCTCTCCTGAAGAGAGTCTTTAATGCAAAAAAGATCTGTGTTTAACTCTAAGAGCAGCATCTCTGCCCAAGACAGACTACTCAAGCCTTCAGCATGATGGGCACCCTTGGTATTTCATGGATGTTTGGCATTGGATTTATTTGTTGTGTTACTTTTTCCTCATAATAATGTATCAGAATTTCACTGTTAATAAAACATATATTAACATTTAATGGCATGAATCTCTTGTTCATATATTCTCTTTCATAGAGGAACCAGACATACTTCTATTAATCAGTGTTCAATGAGGCAAAGCAATCAGAAGTGATGAGAATGAAAACTTACCCAGGTCAGTGGAAACTCTCTCAAATTGGCTCAGGGCTGTACCAGCATTTGTTGACAAGAACATCTCATCATCACCAGTGAGCTAAATCAAAAGAAGCCACAACTGTGAAGCTGATACCTGTGCATGTCCCACCATCTACTTGTGCATCTACATGAGCTAGACAGGTTACAGCAATTGTCCATTTGCACCTTTTGAGTGGCAGTGTTATCTGCCCTACTGAAACCTAAAACAAAACCAGAAGCTACTTCCCCTAGCACCGAATTTTCCCTCCCAGGCTCTGCCAGCCCAGGCAGTGCAGTTCCAGCATGTGCAGTGTCAGACAGGCCTGCACATGCAAGTTTCAAGTTGATTTGTAGTGATCATTTTTTATTAAAAGGTTACACTGTACCTGTGTACCTGAACTATGCCAAGGTGTCAATAACTTTTTTGTCACAAGGTCAGTATGGTAATGAACTAAGATCTAAGCTTACTTCCCATCATCTACTGAGGAAAGGAAAAAAAAAAGCAGTCACTGCCAGCTTTGACCATGTTAAGAGCCAATGACCTAGAAATGGTTCTCTTCCTTTAAAGCGACATTTCCCCATGTATATTTTACTTTTATGTACGTGCTGTGATGCCTTGTGACAGATGCCCATAAAATATTTACAATAATGAAGCAGTAACCTACATTTGGAAGGTTCAGATATGCTAAGTTAAAAGTCATTTAATTAGCCTCAGATACACATCTTTATTACAGCAAAGCATGTGTGTCAAACTCTTCACAGTGTCTGCATCAGTTTATTTATTAGAACTATAAAAATCAGGCACAGATATTCAGGATGATGTTGGAATGAAGGAAAACATATTACTTACCTGCCTTTGCTGGCTTTGTTTGCAAGCATACAGCCACTTAATACTTTGCAATGTTGTGCAGACAAACATGCAGCATTTGCTGTCACTGTTCACATCCAGAACAGATGTGAGACTCCTGTCCTAGCAAGCCCTCTGTGCAGCAGGCTACTGATCATTTCTAAAGGTTAAGAGGATAGGTCAGAGTGTGGGGAAGCGGCTTGATGTTGTGGTCCAAGGAACTCATTCCAAGAGGATTAGACAGCTTCCTGCATTCAGTTCACAACCTTAACTAGCTTTTACATATTTGCAAAACATTTTTTTTCTCTGACACTCAAGCAATAAAATATTGAGAAAGCCTTTGCTTGGGAAACTACTTGGATTGCAGCTCCTTTAAGTACTGCATTTGATCTTCTCCATGACATTCCTTAATTTCCTAAAAAAGCTACACTACAGAGATACACAGCAACCCATTTTCTTCATATACCATCCACAAAGAGAAGTAACTTCTCTTCCTCCCTCTGGTGGCAAACCCAGGGCTTTTTCTGTCACTGATGGATCACTGGGGCAACAATGAATTTATCACTCATCTCTCCAATTTCCTTTTCTCATACCCAGGAGTGGGCACAATTGACACTATAAAAGTGAAGCTGGATGCATGTCAGAGGTCTTGAAAAGTTCCTGATGAATTGGTGGTAGATGGCCAGTAAAAGATTTGTTTTGTAGCTTTTATAAATACCATCACCTTGTACCAGCTGGTGTGTGATTCATGCATACAGCCCACCAAAGGAAGTATTTAAAAGTAGAAACAGCCATGCAGAAAGGTACCAAACTATCTGATACATGTTCAGCTTCAGAAAGTTTGGCATTAAAATGGAAGGACATTTATGTAATGTCACAGCAAGTTGCATTTTATCATTTGCTTATAAAATTGTAATTTCTTATTTTAATTATTTCTAATTCCTCCTAAATAGGCAGAAAACTCTACTCACCTGACTATCATACCAACCCCTTACCTTCTCACCCAGCTTTCTGAGGGCAGTCAGGATTTCCAGTTTCTGTTGGGTGTACAGGTCTCGTGGCAACTTCCCAACCATTAAGTCTCTGTCCATCTGCACACCAGGGGAGAAAAAGTCAAAATATATAAGCTTCCATTATTTCACCCAACACAACAGCATGAGAAATGCAACAGCCTAAAAATATCATCAGTAGCAATGGACCCACATCATCTGGATCTTCAATTTAGATCTCTGAAACATCGAGTGCACTCTCCAGCCCTCAGTACAAGCACAGACTTTCTATTTGCAGCTTCCTCAGTTCACTCTGTTAACCCCATTTTTGCTTTGAAGCAGGAAGATAGGAGATAACTCAAGAAATACACATGGTTGCCCCCATTACCTCAATAAACATTTAAGACTGAACAAATATTGAAAGAGAACTTCTCCATCTTTTTTGGACTTTATGACCAAGTTTTCCAGTACACTCAGTGCTTTCTTTGCAATCCTTACACTGACTGCCTCAAATAAACAGCTTTTGCAGGAAAACAGAAGCCTTCACCTCTGCCAGTCTTGTCCTCAATTGCCTCGGCTGCTTCTTTGCAAACATCCTAATCACTTCTGGAGTTTTAAATGCTTGGCTGATGGCTGCTTGTATTGCCTGCAAGGAGAAGAGCAAGAATGTGATTCCTGTTAGTCCTGGTCAAACTGCAGCAGCAGGACAAGATTAATGAGGGCTGGAAAGCATCATGAATATCCTCTACATCATATGATATACGGAACTCATCTTTTTTTTCATAACCATGGAAGTGAAATTTAAAAAAAAATACCTTTATGGAGGGCTTAAAGAATCCTCTAATTAATGTAACTAGACTGAGAAAGAGCTGTGAAACTTTTCATTACTTAAAGTCCAGGTCCTAATCTCCTATAATGTTAAGGTTGTAATTCATCAATGGGTTTTTTTCCCTTTTCAAATGAAGACACCTATCCAAGTTTTTTACATATACAAGTGTAAAAAATTAGGAAATACATTAGTTACATAGATCTATATTTCACATAAAAATTCTAGTGAATCACTTGTATCTATTTGCTATTTCATCAACTCCAAGCAGAACAAGAAGTTTTTTAGCAATACATCGTCCTTACCAGTTGCATGCCACTGAGCTCATCCACCAAAGTCATATCTCCAGACATAATCTTCTTCAGGGAGTCATTGAACTCACTCAGCTGCTCAAGAGTTTCTTTTTTGGTCTCTTCATACTCATCTGCATCCAGCTCCTCTCTAGGGAGGACCCAAGAAGACACACTGAATCACAGGATCCAGCCTGGGACACCCATGGGGCACAGAGCACTGGGCCATGGCATGGAGCTTGGTTCTCCAGGCTGCACTGAGGAGTTCCCACCCCTGCAGCCTGCTCTGCTCTGCTCCCATCCCTGCAGCCTGCTCTGCTCCCATCCCTGCAGCCTGCCCTGCTCCCATCCCTGCAGCCTGCTCTGCTCTGCTCCCATCCCTGCAGCCTGCTCTGCTCCCATCCCTGCAGCCTGCTCTGCTCCCATCCCTGCAGCCTGCTCTGCTCCCATCCCTGCAGCCTGCTCTGCTCTGCTCCCACCCCTGCAGCCTGCTCTGCTCCCATCCCTGCAGCCTGCCCTGCTCCCATCCCTGCAGCCTGCCCTGCTCCCATCCCTGCAGCCTGCCCTGCTCCCATCCCTGCAGCCTGCCCTGCTCCCATCCCTGCAGCCTGCTCTGCTCTGCTCCCATCCCTGCAGCCTGCCCTGCTCCCATCCCTGCAGCCTGCCCTGCTCTGCTCCCATCCCTGCAGCCTGCCCTGCTCTGCTCCCATCCCTGCAGCCTGCTCTGCTCTGCTCCCATCCCTGCAGCCTGCTCTGCTCCCATCCCTGCACCCTGCTCTGCTCCCATCCAGCTCATACACCGCTTGCATTTGCACCCCTCCCAGCCACCTGCATGGCTCTACACTCACTGATGATAAAAAAGCCCTAGTAATAAACAAGATACCCCACACCTGGAGCAGTATTTAGAAGTATTTTTGGATCTCAACACAATTATGTGGTGAGATTGTCTTGCCCAAAGCTGCAGTGAATGAGATTATCTGAGAAGCCTATCTCACACCCAAAGCCATCCACTTAGGAATAACTGATCCTGCTGTCTAAACCTTGCCCAATTCCCAGAACAGCACCACCACCCCTCAGCAGTTCTAACTGCTCTTGGAAAAGATATGTACTGCTAGGACAAGCTGGAACTAGAGTCAGAAACCATCTAAACACAGGGTGCCTAAATGCAACTACTAAAACAGATAAAAGCCCAACCTTCTTGATAATTCACTGTCTCAAATTGTATCCACACACATAAGACTAATGCAAAATCACATGAAGAGTTAGACAAACAAAAAAGTAAAAATGCAACCCCCCCCAGGGATCTATAATTATAAGAAAAACCAAAAGAGCCCCAAAAGCTATTTGTTCTCTCCTATTAAAAATCCCATAGAAAAACTGTGATTTTTGTGAACAGCTGTTTAAAGTTTAAAAGTCACACTGAAATATAACATTTCAAAGAAAATACAGAGTATTTCTGCTAGCATTTTTCCTAGACATATAAAGCAATCATAATAAAGGTTTTTAAAAATAACTTTTACTGACACCAATATCCTACTTAATTTAAAAACAGAAAGCCACAGCAAAACACAAAAATAAATAAGCTTCCTCCTAAGATTTTTGAAAGGTACCACTTTCTTCTGCCAACCACTTAAGAAAAATACTACCATATAAGAGGAAAGCAACTATTTATATTACCTGCACTCTTCCAGATCTTGAAGTTGTTGCATTAATCTGTCCAACTGCTCCTCCAAGTTTTGTTTTAGTTTACTGGTCTCTGTTGTTCCTCTTGAAGCCATTTTCTGTTTTCACATGAAAATGTTGCTTTTACATGACACTCCTAAGAGAAAGTAGATTTTATTGTTTGCATCAACAACTTAAAACGTTTTTAAAACACTCTAAATATTAAAATTATGCAATATCTTCCTGACGGAATGTTTAATCACAACACCCGGAGATCCTTGCAGTGGAAATACAGAAATGCCAGGCTGCGTGCACAGAATTATCTCCACAGCAAGAGGCGGTTCAGAGGGCACTCCAACAGCCACAGCACACACAATCAAGCAGCAATTACTGAAATACAGAGGCCCCGCTATGTGACACAATAGGTTCGACTCCTCAACAGCCCCTTGGACCGCTGTTCAGCAGACAGCCCGGGTGCAGGTGTGCGGGGCAGCAGGAGAACCGGCGCTCCCGGGGATGGTGCCGGGCGGACACGGCGGCCAGCGGCCATCCCGGCCCCACAGCCCCCTGAGGGAGCGCGGCCCTCGCTCCGGGCCGGCCGCGCGGCCTGCGGGAGGAGCGGCCGGAACGCGGGCGATACCCGGGGCCCGCTGCCCGTTCCCCGGCCACGCTCCGACCCCACTCTTCCCCCTCCGCCCGCCCGGCCCCGCGCCCCCTCACCCCTCAGCCGGGCAGGCCGCGTCAGGGCGGGCTCATCCCGCTCCGGCGGCGCCGCTTCCGCCGCGCCCGGGCCAATGAGCGCGAGCGGCCCCGGGCCCGGCCGAGGGCACGGCGCGGGGTGAGCGGGCACGGGGAACGGGGACAGCGGGGACAGGGAGCGGGGCTGAGCGGGGACAGGGAGCGGGGGTGAGCGGGCACGGACAGCGGGCACAGCGCGGGGCTGAGCGGGGCTCACCGGGGACAGGCGGGACGGCGGGGGTTGCTCGCTGGGCGAGGACCGGACCCCCGTGCGGGCCCGCGGGGGCGGAGAGCTGCGGAGGGTGTTAGTGAAGCGCCCAGCGACGCCCACATCGTGCTAGTATTCTATGTATATACCCATATATAAACATATTTGACAGATATTTGCCTCTGAAACATAAATGAGGTTGAGCAAAGCATCCTTACCTGCTTATCCCCTGAAGGTGACTGGCAGGGTGGGCTCCAGAACCATCCCAAGACCTGCTTTAGGCATATTTTGGTGTATTTTAGTGCAAGGTGAGTTTATGAGGCAATGATTGCCTGTTTCTGTAAACTGTAAAATTAGCAGCATGAAAAGGGACATTTGACTAACTCCCGAAAAGGCACTCTATATTTCCATCTTAAAATTTTCTACTTTTTTTGCACTTTTTTTTTTTAAGGAAAAAATCAATCTTTTCCAGTTTTGCAGCATGTGTCACTCTGTTGAAAGTAGGATTTGTGCATTACAAAGGCAGTCTAATTCCTCTCCTCCTTGTTCCCATAGTAACTCTCCTAGCCGTGCCCCTGTGAAGGCTGCATTTCAAGTACCACCAGCCGTTCCACTGCTGAGCTACTCTGCAGTAATGAAGAATATTTTAAAAGTTGGTGAAACTATTGAAAGCACAGAAAAGTACTAGCACTTACAAAACGTGAAGCTTTGCAAGCGTTCCTTTTATCCGCGGGCTGTTTGATGTTAGGACACAGTCGCTGTTACCAGGTTTGGCTGTGATGGTGTCTCAGTGCTGTGGCTGCTGTGAACATCACTCAGCCCCTCTGTCAGGGAGACACAGTGTGCGGGTGACCTCGTGGGATTTTTCCAGGTGGTGATGTTGCTGTAGAAACAATGGCAGACAATTCTGTGCTCCTCAGGATGTCCCAGACACCTCGCAAACAGCAACAGCCCATTGCAGTTCTCCTTTGTTAGGCCAGATGTGGGAAAACATCTTGGCAAGCCAGAATATTCTCAGGAAAAAATACAGAAGCAAAAATGTGTGTGAGGTGTGAGAAGAAATTGAATGATAATTAGTGAAATTTCCTTATTTTCAGCAATTGTTAAGCAGCTTTCTGAAACTGAAGCTCAGAAGCGGAACAGAATTGTGGTATTTTAGAAAAGGGGAAAACCCCCAGTATTTAATTGCAGCTTTTACTAAACTTCTGTAATTTACTATTCTTCTCTCACCTTTTCCATTGGTACACCTAACACTTGCTGCAACACAAAGCAGACTGACTTTTCTCATGTTTAGTCCATAGCACTCTCTTCCCACATATCACACTGAATTATATAAATTACCCCCTTTAGATTTTATATTTCAAAAAATGTAAATAAATCCCAAAGAAATGTTGACACTGTTCTCCTCCAGAGAATTATAAAATATCCTATATAATATCCTATTAATAAAATATAATATGTGACACAGTCTTGGTTTTATAGATCTTGCTGGAAAGGGTCACTGCAGTTGAGTAGCAAGACTAGGAATGGTCACAGATGTTCTATTTCTCCCTGTGAGCACTAGAAAGAAGTTACTTAACAAGGAAGTTCCCTGCCCACATGTCCCTTGGCAGTTGATTGGCACTGCCATCTTAAAATGGTGCAAAGTTCTGATGAAGTTTGTCCTGCAATCAGGACAGATAATCTCTCCACATGAAGTTTAAAAGCATGAGCTGCTTTTCCACAGAGTGGGCAGTACGCCATCCTCTCTGGGCAAACAGCCTCTTTGCAGTGATTTCATATTTTAATCACTTAGAAATTGGACAAAGAAGTGTCACATGGACAGTCACAGGCCAGGTTGGTGGAAGAAAAATAATAGCATTCAATTTGATCTTGAAATTTTATCTTCTGCTTGTTGGCAGCACCAGTAAGTAACAATAACTCTTTCTTGTCCCATTTCTTGTAGTGGCTGGCACCAGCATTGTCCACTGGGCCCCGTGGCTGTGAGCAGTGGCCATGGAAGATCCTGACAGGAAGATTGAAGTGGTGCTGCTGGCCTGTGGGTCCTTCAATCCCATCACCAACATGCACCTGAGGCTGTTTGAGCTGGCTAAAGACTACTTCCATGAAACAGGTAGCTTAGTTATTTATATCATTCAGAATAGCTTTGATAACCAGACACTTCAATGTTAATGTGAATATTTTGTGGCTGTGAATGCTTGACAGTGACAAATATTTAGCAAATGCTAATTTGTTTTATATGTTTATGTCTTATACAAAGGCCATTATGAGAGAACTCATTTATGTGTTGCTTCAATGAGCTGAAGCACAGGGTTTAGTTTACAGAAATATATATCTTTCTAATACATCTTACCAACTCCTTCACTGGCTGCCCTGACAGTGCAGGAGTGTCCTGTATTTTTCCACAGGACTGGCTATCAGCTGCCTTTGCACTGCATAATGGTTATGTCACAGGTTAAATGCAATGCAGGGGAAGTAACATCTGCTCAACCACTTCTCATGTTCTTGTGTGATGTGTTTTTTTCCACAGGAAAATACAAAGTAATCAAAGGCATCATTTCACCAGTGGGTGATGCATATAAGAAGAAAGGTCTGATCGGTGCGAATCACCGAGTGACTATGGCAAAACTGGCTACAAAAAACTCAGATTGGGTGGAAGTTGATGATTGGGAAAGCTGCCAGAGCGAGTGGTTGGAAACACTCAAGGTTTTAAGGTATTCTTCAGCCAACCTCTAAAGTCTCACGAACCTATAGAAGGATTAAGAATGGTGTTAACTCTAACAAGTTGGGATAATTGCAGAGAGAGGTTCTTTGGTAGGCCATACTATCCCAATTTTTTCCTACATCCTTAAAATACCTAAAATACATCTGTTTTGCAGGTATCATCATCGAAAGCTTTTATCTGCTGATGTCACTAATAGTCTGCAGGATGATGTACCCATAACAAAGCTGGGACGGAAGAGAAAACAGGAACCAAACAGGCATGAGCCCATTAAAAAGAAAAATCAGAGTCCAGTTGTAAAAAGTTAAGTCTGTTTGCAAATTAGATGGTTAATGATCCTTGTTATTTCAAGAGAATTGCACCAATGAGTAACTTTTATGGTGGCTCCTGGTTCTGGTGTCACTCAGTAACTTCATTCCCTTAGATTCCACAGCATAAAGCATTAGAACCCTTTAATGAAGGGACTCCCATAACCTTTATTCAGAAAAATCTTGTGTTATGGCTACTAATTATAAATTATATACTCTGAATCTGTTTTTTAAATTTCATTCCATTGTCTCATCTCAACCAAAGATACAGAGAGAAAGGGAACCAAGAAATTAAATGTCCCTGTGAAGTTTGCTAAAATCTGCCAAGCCCCAAACCAAGCCCTATTTCTCATTTAATTTTCTCTTTAAGGTGTCCCAGAGGTTAAACTGCTTTGTGGAAGTGACATGCTGGAATCTTTTGGAGTCCCCAATCTGTGGAAGTTGGAGGACATCACTGAAATTGTGGAAAACCACGGCCTCGTGTGTATCAGTAGGGCCGGAAGCAACGTTCAGAAATTCATCTACGAATCGGATATTTTGTGGAGGCATAAGAATAACATTCACCTTGTGGAAGAATGGATCACAAATGATATTTCCTCCACCAAGATCCGGAGAGCCCTGCGGAGGGGCCAGAGCATCCGTTACCTGGTGCCGGACGCGGTGCGGGCGTACATCGAGAGGCACGGGCTGTACAGCGCCGAGAGCGAGGCCAGGAACGCGGGGCTGCTCCTGGCCCCACTGCAGAAACACGCCAGCGACCCCAGGAGCTCACAGGCACTGAACAACTGACCCGCTGGCTGCTCTGGAAAACCACATTTCATAAGGAAAGTGTGTTTTCTAGGGGCTGGTTGGGGCTTTTCCTTAGGTAAATAGGGGGCTGATTCCGTACATCTGTAGTTAGCAGTGAGGTTTGGTGCACGCTGTGATTGGATCTACACAACCTTTGTCAAGTCCAGTAATAAGATTTTCACATTTTAATGTTTTGTCCCAGTGCACTGAAGGGAGTATGAGAATTCACATCGGTACATGAAAATTGCAAATGTACAAGCAAAACAAATGAAAATGTTCTGAATAGATTTAACTCAAACTGCTCTGCTATTTATAAAACAATAATACAAATATTTTTAATAACTTACAGTGTCTTTAAAAAGTTATCTGGTTTCAAGATGTATCATTTACTTACAGTAAAGCTATGTAATTTTTTTTTTAATTGTCAACACGTGGTTCACCTCAAAAAAATTATTTAGCTCTATCCTGGAAGGGAAGAATTTCCTCCTGGCTGAAGTGGTGCTAGGTATAGCATGCTTTGAGCTGCTTGCCTTTGAGATATGCAGCTGCTTGTTTGCTGTCATGCAATTTGCTTCCAGAAATGTCTTCTACTTTACTTTTCTATTCATGTTTCCAGAGCTGTAATGTTAAGCTCAGTTTTGTTTCTGATGGAAGGACAAACCTACCTCAGGAACTGGTTTAAAGCCATTGATTTAATAGATAGAAATTAATAATAGTGTCACTGCACAGATTCTGAGACACTTGTCCCTTTATTACAAATAATACAATGATTTCAAATAATCAAGTTTCTTTTACTTTTGAGCCATAAGTAGAATATAATTATATTTAGCCAGAATTGTTTTCTGTTAGTAGAGAGAAAATGGTACTATATCAATACTGATCATAAGTAAAATGTTTTTCTCTTGTAGAAATTTGGTTTTGAATCTAACAGTATTGTCTGTATTATGTGAACATAAGCTAGAGAGGCACTGTGACTGTTGTGGTGATAGAATTCTACCTCCTTTTATTTGCTGCTATCTCATTTCTGTTTGTATTATGTGCCTTATTAAGAATGCCAAGGTTTGCAAGCCACTTCTCATGAATCAACAACTCTTTAGAGGTCTTTGTGTGAGGTTTAAGTACTGATTTACAGAAAGAAGAACCACACCCCAGACTATCTGCATAATTTAAATTAAAATGTTATATCTGGACTTTGGCACAGGATTTACCAAGTACTGACCTCTCTTTGCTGGCAAGAGTCAGTAGTATTGCAACAGTGCTTTTCTACCATAACCTCAGAACACCAAATTGTGGGTGAAATGTTACTATTTGAGTCAAGAGGAAACAGTAATTTTCATTTCTCAGTGCCATTCCTATTTTAGTGTAGGTTAGAGAACAATATCCAGCTGCAAACAGGAAAGAAGCTTTGACGTCCTGAGTTCCTTCTCGCGTGATTCTGTGAGTCATAGCGATCACACTGCCAGCTCCAAAAATGGAGCTAAAATTTGGGGAAACTGCTCTGCAAAATACTGTCCTTCTTATTCAGCCCAACACAAGTCAGTAAATAAATACATGTAGTAGGTATAAGTGTGTTTCCTCACCTCTAAATCCCTTATTTCCTCACTTCAGATTCTCTAAGTCCTTTCTCTTCAAAGTCAAGCATTTTTTATTCACTTTTTAAAACACATTGCTGGGTCATCAGGGATTTCTGTCACTTCTTTGCTGAAGGTGAAGTCCAACACTGAAGCTTATCTGCTGTGTCATGCACTCTGCTGCCTGTGTTCTGCCACAACGTGTAGCATCTAATAAAGCATCAGTGGGAACAGCTCCTGGATCAGCTCTCCTTTATGTGTCAAGAACAGAAAGCAAAGGCAGGAGCTACATCTCCTATATACACAAGACTACTCTTTGAATTCTGTTTACTACTCACTCCAGACATAAACCAACATGATATAATTCTTATCTCTGTGCCATAGGTGTCGCTTTAAAATTTGTTGGTATAACACAATCCACAGTTTAACAGTCAGTCCGTGTCTGTTCAAGTACAGCCTGTCTTTACAGAGGCACATCACCTTTTCAACAGATAGCTGGATTTCAGATCATAAAGCCCAGATTTAATAAACTTACAGGAAATCTTAGTAATGACAAAATCAGTCCCTTTAAAGTATACAAGATGGACAAAATGGTTTAAGCCAGTTTTTGGCGTGCATTGTGGCTCTTGGGCTATTAACATTTGCTAACACAAAGATTTCAGACACAATGAACTTTTCCCTGCAGCACAGCTGAAGCCATTCTACAAATACCCTCTCACCCACTGGCTCAGCACCCTTCCTCTCCAGCAGAAAGGTCCTGGGATGGAATCCCACCCACAGGCTGCCCTATAAAAGGCCTAGCTAGAAAACTACATTTGTATTTCTGACTGCTTCTTCCTCCTTCTGTGTGGCAATGCCTGTGGATTTCAGCGGAACCTGGAACCTTGTCAGCAATGACAACTTCGAAGGTTACATGGTGGCCTTAGGTAGGTGAAAATACCTGCTTCTGTCCTTCCTCCCTTCTCCCTTAAGGGTCTTCTTGAATTTTAAGGACTGCCCTTCATGTCACCCTGTTTAAGGTGTAGAATGCCTTAAAGAGAGTCTTGTTAATTCTTTCATTGCCTTTCCTCCAACAAAGGATGAGAACAGGCATTCACCTCTTATGGGTGAGTGGGGGTAAAGTCTGAAACCAAGTTTGGGTGTCTCTGTGGGGGAAGCCAACTGTCTCCAGGAGTCTTCTGGCTGAAAGTCCTGGAAATACTGCATAGGAATTGTACAACATCTGAATAAACTGGTTTTCAAAGAGTAAAAAGTACAAGAGGACATCTTACTTTTTGTAACACACAGCTTTAAACAAAACAAAAGGTTCCAATAAAACAACAAAATGCTGCGTAGCAGTAAGGTCAAACTACCGTAAGAAATGCTTCTGGTAGTAATAAAGGTTAATTCCTGGCTGCCAAATTGCTGGTGATAAATACAACTCTGATGTTTTTGCCTTCTGTCCAAGGTATTGACTTTGCAACGCGCAAAATAGCAAAAATGCTGAAGCCTCAGAAAGTGATCAAACAAGATGGTGATTCATTCTATATCCATACCACTAGCTCATTCAGAGATTATTTGCTTGAATTCAAAGTTGGAGAAGAGTTTGAGGAAGATAATAAAGGCTTGGATAACAGAAAATGCAAGGTAAGAGGGAATATATGAGGCTGTGGCAAAATTAAGATGCTATGATCAATCCAGACACTTGAACTGAAATTGTTTCAAGAATAATATTTGTAGTGCAAGACAGCAGTGGGAGCCTGAGTTACAGACAAGGAGTGTCACTTTCACTCAGGGGTAATATCTAGGTCCTCTTTTATCCAGGAAAATGCACATTTTCTGTAAGTATCTTGCAGAACTGAGACAGACATGCAGAAACACCTTTTTGTTCCCTGTTCTATAGAGCCTCGTTACCTGGGAAAATGACAAACTTGTCTGTGTCCAGACTGGTGAGAAGAAGAACAGGGGCTGGACTCACTGGCTTGAAGGGGATGACCTCCACCTGGTATTGACTTCAGATTTCTACTAATTATATCTCTGTATGGTGAAAATTAGATTTATAATGTGATCATGGTGTGCATATGTCTTCTAGCTCTGTAGGATGTGTAATGGATGGTACATTGTGAGCATTCTGCTTTGAGACAGCTTCATTGTTTCACTGTCAATGTAGTTAAATTTGAATGTTAAGTGTAAGCTATTAGCGTGGCCAGGGTGGTGGTAAAGGATCTATGTTCAATTTGGGAACTGTTCCTTTGATTACTATAGATATCTATACTCTTGGGTTTTCTGTTTGTTTGTTTTTGGTTTTTTTGGTAGGAGCTTCGTTGTGAGAATCAAGTCTGCAGGCAGGTCTTCAAGAGAGCTTGAGTGTGTGTGGGGTCCTGCCTGCAGGGCCAGCTCTGCTCAGGAGCCGTGTCCAGGGAGGGCTCTATGGACAAGAACTGGCTCCTGTACCCATTAACCTGAATGGTCTGAAGTTTCTGGCTCAGGAAATAAGTCTGCTGTTGCCAGTGTTAAAGGTCTGATTTTTGCTAATAAATGCCTCAAACCAATCTTAAGTATCTTGTTTTTGAATATGTTTTTGGAGGGGAAAAAAAAAAAGCAACCCAAAATATAAATTATGAGGCCTGGGTCTCTAGGTTATCAAAAGTCAATTAAAAGGAGAAAACCTACCAATTCTAAGAGGAATTCAAAGAGGCAAACAAAACAGGGGGAATGAGATGCTGACAGAGAAGGGAAGATAACAAATAATGAAGCCAGCAACAAAAGGTATGGATTTATTTTTCAAAATGCTTCTCTTTAAGGTGCGGACTACTACTTTACCTGCTTGTGTCTTTCACACTGTTGTGTGAGGTGCCATATTGTGTCAGAGCTGCTTTGTTCTCAAAAATAATTAAGTTGAGCTTACCAGAAGAAACAAGGCTGTGGTCAAATCCCAGAACCATGAAGATGGCTCTGAGTGATCCACGAAGATTCCAGTCTGCAAAATAATTGAACTCTGTAAGCACATATACAGAGGGAAAACAATGCTGCTTTAGTTCAGCTTTGTTTGCATACAACTGTTAATTAAATACTTTTCTTTATCACCGTGTGCAGTATTGCATAGAAAAGTTTTTCTTGCATGAACATGTAAGTTGTCAGATAAACTAGGTAGCTACAAATTGAATTAATTGCTGCATATTTTTCGTTGCATATTCTTGAAGAACTGTAGCTTAAGCTTAGTAACTGAATTACTTAATATGAAATAAATAGTCCGTGACATTTTGAAACAAGTAGCGCCACCTTTCTGATACTTCTTATCCATTCAAAATGCTTTCGTACGCCATCAGAGTCAGACAAAAATCTCTTTAAGCATGGAGGGCTTTTGGTTAGATTGACGCTCTCCCCTAATTACCAGACTTGTATAAATTTAAGCTGGTTTCCAAAATAAAAAGAAAAGGACTAATACAGTTAGGGAAATGTGGGGCCCAGCAGTAAAATGCCTGGTGTTTATGCTGTGGATTCTGACAGCGTTCTTCCTTCTGGGACTGAGTGGTTTTATTTGCTTGAAAACAGAATTGCTGTTAGTAGGAATCACAATCCGGGGCAGCAGCTGCTAACAAATTGCAGCACAGCAGCGGGCAGAGCTTTCTGCGCCGCCGGATGGCGCCTGTGCAGCGCGCTGCTCCTCACGGCACGGGCAGGGTTCGGCGCCAGGTCCAGGGGTTAAACACGCACATATCCTCCAGCTGCTTCCAAGCTGCGCTCTCCAGCAAAACCGCTGGGAGACGCAATACAGAAAGGCAGTAATGACCTTGAAGGACGAGATCAGAACTCCCCAGAGAAGCACTTGAAGCGTTTTATTCAAAGGTGTTTCAGACCACTTCAATTATCTTAAAAAAAAAATCCTAAGGAGATAAACACAAAATGAAGTGTAATGTAAAAATCAAAGGTAACAATGTACATCTATTCTATAAAAAGACTGGCAGTATATATTATGATCCAAGTATTGGTTTCCTTTCTGAGCACCCTGGTTAAGTCATCAAAATATTTTGTTCAAAATAATTTAGATCAATAAAGTACATTAAAGATGTATATGAAAACATAAGACCATGTAGCCTAACTGCCTCATCTCTGCATTTAAAAAATGGATCAATTCTACTGCTATATAATTATTTGCAGCGTGTATGAAAATATCTCCTAATAGCTCGTATGGATCAGTTTAGTTCCATCTTGAGAACACCCAGCTTTTCGGGATCCTTTCCCTTGCTGACTCAAATCATACTGCGAGGCTTGCTATTCTGGTCATATTATTAGTGACTGTTCATCCTGAGCTAGAAACTGCAGCTGCAACCCTCAATTCATTTATCCTTTGCTAAAAGAACAACTTTAAAATATCCTTTTCTCTTTCATCTACATGTATTATGACTCCAACAAGATGAGCTAGGGATGAACCTCCTATGTACTTACATGCAACCTGCGTGTTTTATCTGTGGCTGAGTTACATTTCGAGTGTGAGGGAAAAGATTAATATCTTCCAGAAATATAGTATTTTGTGGTATAATGAGGGAATTAGGTGCAGAAAAGTTTGTAATACGGAAATAAAAACCTCATGTCCAAACTGCACTTATAAAAGGCCAGGACCAAGCACTCAGTGGGGTCTTGGCATCTTGTTTTTCCCTTGCTGTGTTACTCAGCTAGCAATAATTAGATGTACGAATTCTCAATCACCCGTCACTGAGAAGAGGTTAATATTTACGGGCCCATTGGAGAGGGAGGGCTTCAGCAGCTTGACCCTCTCTGGGGTCGGGGCGTTCCTGAGGGGCAGCTGCCTCGTTCCGGGCCGTGTTCCGGGCCGTGTTCCGGGCCGTGTTCCCGTTCCCGCCTCCCCGGGCCCCTCACAAGCCCCGGGCCCGCCTTTCCCAGGCCCCGCCCCGGCCCCGCCTCTCCCGCCCCTCGGGCCGCTGTCATTGGCCGGCGCGGCGCGCGCGCGGCCCCGGCGTGCCCCGCCCCCGCGGGGGTCACGTGATCCCCAAGATGGCCGCCGCCGCCCTGTTGTTTTGATGAATAATCTCTGCGCGGGGCAGCGGCCGCGGGCGGGCGGGGGTCGGTGCCGGGAGCTCTGAGGGGCGCGGGGGCACCGGGAGGGCGGCTTCCCCTCGGCCGCGGCGGCAGCTTAGGCGCGGGTGGGCGGCGGGGAGCGGGCCGGGGGCGGCGGTGCTGCCGGCGGGCGAGGCGCGGCGCGGTCGCCCCGGAGATGCCCTTGTGAGGCGGCCCGGGGGGCAGCGGCGGCAGGAGAGCGCTGCCTCGGAGCGGCCCCGCGGCGGGGCGGAGGAACGCGCCCCTCCTCCGGGCACCATTAAGAGGAAGGCGATGGAGGAGCTGAGCGCGGACGAGGTGGGTGCGCGGGGCCGGGGCCTGAGGGGCGGGCGGGCCCGCGGGGAGGGGGCGCGGGGCTGTGCCGGGCCCGGCTCGGGCCCGAGGGTGGGCACGGAGCCATCCCCCCGAGCTCTGCCCTCGCCCCCTGGCTGTGCTCCGTGGATTTTTGTCCCCTCCTGTCCCCGGCTGGCCCTGACCCGCGACCCCCGGCTCGGCCGCGGGCTTGGGTTGCTGCTCTCCTGGTTAATTGTTTATTCTCTGCTTCCGTCTGCTAGGTAGCCTTTGTCTGCAGCGTGTGCCCTCTCTGTCAGTACTAGGCGTTTATGTGTTCTTTGTGTGTGATTCGAAACACCCAGCCTTTTAACACACTAAAACACTTGAAATTTTGCTTCCTTGGACTCATTGCTGAGAAGCAAGATGGGTGTGTTCGTGGGCTTATATGTCAGTTTTCCACTGTTTCCTTTGATTTTCTTTATTTATTTAAGCTCTTTCACTGAAGAATTCTGGTGTTATGCTGTAATTGGCAAACATCTGTAATGTATATGTTCTATTCACATAGAATAAGGTGAACTATTCCTTGTTTCTTTCTTTTAAAGGATGCTGCTTCCCTTGTTTTTTAATATATAATTAAGGTCTTAAGTTTTGCCCATATATTAGAGGGTTTTCAAATTAATTATTTGGGTTACTACAGCAGGATCCAGGGAGTTTCCCAGTGATCCTGTGTAATCCTGAAATCAAAATGTATTGTACTGGACCTGCTGCAATACAGGCTCACTGCTGTACTTCTAATCCGGGGAGGATCAAAAGAAGTTATTTTTATTCTGTCCTTATCTTATAGTGGGATTGTAGGGCAGGGTGGCTGCTGTTGCCACTCAGATTTATATTCCAAGAAGTTGGGATGTTTTTGATGGTGGTGTCTGTCACGATTTAGCAATCCTGCTGTGTTGCATCATGACCTAGGAGAAAACACTTTGTGCTGTTTACTTGGTGGAGGTCCTCGTGCTCTGTGGAAGCACTGAGAGAAGGAGAGCAGTTCCATGTTGGGAGGAGTGGGATGGGACACTGGCAGTGTCAGTCTGCTGGCAAAAAGGATCTCCAGTGTTACAGGTGGATTTCATGAGTGCTGTGTTTACCTGCAGCTCTTCTCCTTGTTAAACTGCCCTGATCCTGAGGTGTTTTATGATTAATTTCAGAATTATTTAACCTATGTAGGCTTATTTGTGTCACTGCCTCAGCACATTACTGACCTCATCAAAACCACTGCATCATGGATCTGAGGCTGCAGGAAAGCAGTTCTCCACTGAGGACTCATCCACCTTTTTTGGCCAAACGTTTGTCTCCAGTGACTTTCCACGTCCTTCTTGTCCAGTTCAGCAGGGACCAAACCAAATGGTTTTTAGGTGATTGCTTGTGACAATCTTGTATCATTTTAACAGAGTCACTTCTTGTTATTAATGGATCTCTCACTGAAAAGTCAGAGCCAAGTTGATTTTAATTTTCCTCCACATCTCCACTTTGCTGTTACTTGGCACAGTGGGCCTGGATGAGATTATATTGAAAAATAACCTGAAATTTACTTTATGTGACTTCTTCAGATTCAGCCTTTTTTTCAGGCAATGACTGAAGGTGAAAAAATACCTAACGGAGGTTTAATTGCAAGGCTCTGACAGATAAGGTTATCTTCTGTTATCAGACCATAATTAAATATAACACTAATGTGTTGCAGCTTAAAAAGAGGAGATACACAATTGATCATACCTATATTTTAGTTTCAAGAAGATATTTTTCCCTCCTATTAGCAGTGTCTCTCACTGACAGTTTCTCAATGTTCACTTTAATGCACTAAAAGTTGTAATTCATTACAGACCATAGTAAAATTTTTAGGAGAGGGGAGAAAGAAATTTCCTTCTTAGTATGTGAGTTTTAGCACAGTAGATAGCACAAGATGAGAACAGGGACTTCACAGGAAAAAAGCAGAATTCAGCTAAATGTGGCATAAAGTGGGAAAGAATGATGTGA